TTCTCAACAGAAGACCCTGCAAGCAAAATAATGACAAAACACCGTTCGAAATGTGGACTGGGAAACAGCTCAAACTCAGTCACTTGAAGAAATTCGGTAGCCAATCATTTTCCCATGTGCCGAAGCAGTTGAGAACCAAATTTGAAAACAAATCGAGAAACCTAGTTTTTGTCGGTTATCACGGTAATAGTTCAAATTATCGACTATTTGATCCTAAAACAAATAGAATATCTGTCGCACGAGATGTGGTCTTCAACGAAAAGTGTCTGAAAAGTCCACCCATAAGCAGTAATGCCAATGAAGTATTCTTGTACGATGGTCCCTGTTCCTCCAGAGCGCCAGAAATATCAGGAATAATTCAAGAAGATTCAACATCTGAAACAGAACAGGTCCTGATACAAGACGAAATCAGTCAAGATGATGGCGTAGAAGATACAAATCACGATGGAAATCAGAATCAAGGTCGTCAACTTCGAGATCGTACAAAAATTAATCGCCCATCCAGATATGAGTTTGCCTGTGCAGCCATCAATGAACCTCGAACTTATGAAGAAGCTGTGACGAGTCATGAAAGATCTTGCTGGAAAAAGGCGATGGAAGAAGAAATCGAGTGTTTGAAGAAAAATGAAACATGGGAGTTGGTTCCTTTGCCAGAAAACAGAAAACCAGTCGGGTGCAAATGGGTTTTCAAGGTGAAGTGCAAACCAGATGGAACGATCGCACGTTATAAGGCGAGATTGTGCGCAAAGGGGTTTTCTCAAGTAGCCGGTATTGATTACTCAGAAACTTTTTCACCTGTCGTTAGATATGACTCAATAAGGATATTACTAGCACTAGCAGCGAAAAATGATATGGAAATTCAACAATTTGATGTTAAAACAGCATTCCTCTACGGTGATTTACATGAAGAAATTTACATGGATCAACCCAAGGGTTTCGAATCTGAGGACAATTCAAAGGTTTGCAGACTAAGGAAAAGTTTATATGGTTTGAAACAATCTCCCCGCTGTTGGAACTACAAATTTGTTTCCTTCCTAACATCCTTCCACTTCAAACAAATAGAAGCAGATAAATGTGTCTTCGTTGCAGAAATCGAAAGACAAGTCATTTTTCTCGCCCTGTATGTTGATGACGGACTTGTCATGTGTAAGTCAGCAAATGTCATCAATTTGGTTTTAGAAAAGTTGACTTCATGTTTTGAAATCACTGTGAGTAACGCTGAATGCTATGTTGGAATGGAAATACAACGCGATAGAAGCCGAAAACACATTTTCATCAGTCAACGAGGGTATATACAGCGGTGTTTGGAAAGATTCAGAATGTTAGATTCTAAATCGAATGCAGTACCAGCCGATCCAAATGTGATTCTTCATGCAGACCAGTCTCCTCAGAATGATGAAGAAAAAGAAAACATGAATACTACACCCTATAGAGAAGCAGTAGGATGCCTCATGTTCCTGGCAGTAGTAACTCGTCCAGACATATCATTTTCCGTAAGCAGAGTCAGCAGATATCTTGAAAATCCAGGGAAACAACACTGGGAAGCTGCGAAACGTATTTTCAAATATCTGAAGGGAACTGCAAATCACGGAATTCTCTACAGTGGGAGTAATGAATGGCTGAAAGCGTATTCAGATGCCGATTTTGCAGGAGATGTTGATACAAGATATTCCACGACGGGCTACGTGACTTTATTATCTGGTAGTCCAGTTACATGGACATCTCAACGTCAAAGGTGTGTTGCAAGATCCACGACGGAATCTGAATATATTGCTGCGTCCGATGCAACGCAAGAGGTAATGTGGCTGAGAAGATTCATGGAAGAAATTGGTTTTGACGTTTCAAAACCAACGGAACTCTTTGTTGATAACAAGAGTGCTATCAATTTAGTGAGCAATTCTGATCATCATAAACGTACCAAACACATCGATGTCAAGTACCATTACATCAGACAGCATGTTGAAGAAAGGAGTGTCGTTGTTATCTACGTCGAGTCAGAAAACCAGCTAGCAGATATTCTAACCAAACCATTACCAAAGGAGAAATTTTCAAGAAACCGAGAACGACTCAGTATAACTATGCCGAAGTGAACAAAGAGTGGGAGTGTTGTTAATACTATGTTCACTTTGTATACTTTACCTTATGGGTTTCTTAGGTGATATATTTATTATTGATATATCGTTAGTACATTGTTTTATGTTTTATAAAATAATTAAAGCTCCATTCACTTTGAGTATTTTCCTGTAAATTCATAACTCACAAGAGTTATCATTATTGGACCAATGAATTGAAGAAAGGTAGGAAGTTTTTGTTGGAGCTGCATACATCCAGTTTTCAAACTCATATTGGATTCTCAACGTTTATCCATTTTTTCCATTCAGCTGAACTGATTTTTCATTATCAGAGAAGACTTCTTGAGTGCAGGAAATTCATATTAGAGGACATATTATAGGTCCTACATCCATTGGAACCTTCTACTAGTTCAACCAGCAACCAAACACAGTTGATTTCGCGTATTTTCAGAGATTTGTTGATACTAATTTATAAAATAATATAGAATTGATTAGGCAATTGATATAAAGTTCATGTCTTGTACTCAAGAGACGCAAGAAGAGAAAATTAACGTAATTTGTTGAATGGTATTCATAAAATATGAAACCATCTGAACACAATAACAAACATGACCTTGAATTACGTCCTAAACTGGTTCAAATTTGCCCACCAGGTGCCGTATCGGAATCGTCACCTTGCCAATTGCATAATTTGTTCTTAACTTTCTTGGAGTTGGAAAGATCAATGATGTAGTTATTCAATACTGAAAATCAAAAAAATAGTTTACTACATCATTCAATGCAGTGCTTCAAATTGTTTTGTATTCATACACGAATTACCTAGAAAACTAAACTTTGACAACCCGACCAGTAATTGAAAACATGAACATTCATAACAAATATTCAAAATTATAGCTCTTCTCACTGTCACTGTCCCTTATTAGTTCTTATACGTTATCAAAATTATTTGCGTAAAAAAAGTGTTTAACATAAACCCAAAGAAAAAGATCCAGCGGTGTCCAATCAGGCGATCGCGCCGGCCAAGGAACTGTAGAATACGAGGTAGAATAAGTTTAGTTATCAAAATAATTCGTGTAAGACCTCATCAACAGCTGCATTGAATAATTCATGACGTTTTTTTTTTACTTTTTAATATTGAATAACTACTCCATCAACGTTTGACACTGAATTATCAGAAATAAGTGGGACTGATGGTATTGCCTCTTTGGATAGTTCTAAAAACATTGAATATGGCTAAAACTGAGTCGAAACATATTCAAGCCACTTTAAGTAATACATGGTTAAATTGAGAGGTAAAAAAGCTATCAGAATCTGTGAACACATAGTCAGGACCGTATTTTAAATAAAGGTTCCACGAATACGAAACATCGCGTAGAGCAATCCATAGAACCAGTTTTTCTGTATCTCTAATAATAACGAAGGAAAAAAATAAAATAGATTTTCCAAAGATATATTTTTTTTTCGATATAATTGAAAAACTTCACCCCGGCAGAAAAAAACCGGCCACCAAAAAATGTAGCCAAATTGTTCGCCGTGTAACTTTTTTAATTTTTGTCCGAAATTGGTGAAATTTCGATCAAATCGTATATTTATGTTTCGGAATATTGATTCCTATGAAAAGCTGATTGCTTGGTCATTATACAGGGTGTCCCAGTATTAGCCTGCCAAACTTCACCAGCGGCATCTACGACCAAAAATAGAAAGAAAACATTCAATGAACATGAGTCGAGAAATGTCTCCTAAGGGAGATACGGTCCCCTCAAAGAGTGCTCCTGAAGATAATGTTTCTTGAGTATTTCCGAAACGCCATGTTATTAAAAGTTGCAATTTGGTACAAGACCTAAAATTTACATGTCCAAAGCAGTGAAAATAAAATTATTTCAAAATTTCAATCAGGAGTGTATAATACAGGGTGGGACTACCTAAAATATTGCTCTAAATTTTTTGTATGCATATTTTTCGACAATTTGATCTCGGATTATGAAATTTCACACCTTTTTACAGAAAAAAGGTACTCTTGTTCCGTGACGATCAGATGTATTATTATCGAGTAAAAGCAATTTAAAAATATTGTTACATCTCAGATATTATGAATAACATTGGAATGAGGCGTAGTGGAAATGGAAAAAAATGCACCAAAATTGAAGTAGTTTTTTTCATCATAATTTTACTAATTTTTGCGCTTTTGATTTTTTAAGTTGTTAATCAATAAGTTCATGTAGGTTCTGATCATTGTCTGCTAAATATGCTGGTGAATCAAAAACTATTGTACTAGGAAGGGATCCCAGTTCAATCCGAAGCATAATCAAGCCAAGTTCAACCACTCAATTTTGCCACAGGGTGTTGAAAAGTATAGGGTGAAAGAGTAACTTGGGATTTTCCCTGTGTAATGATCAGGTCATCAGCATTTTAGGAAAACTAATATCTAGGCCAACATTCCGGAATATAAATCTACGATTTGATCGGAATTTCACAGAAATCCGACAACGATTGAAAAAGTTAGAGGCTGAGCAATTTGGGCAAATTTTTTGGTGGCCGGTTTTTTTTGCCGGTGACTGTAACCCTCGGAATCCACAACTTTTTTCCCATTTAACCGTATTCGTATATCCTCCTGTTTCTGAGATCCTCATGGTGTGCAACGTTTATTTTGGTCAAACTGTATACGTGTTTTTTCGTTACTGAATTTCAATATACGGGGTGGGGTGTTGAGGTACGCACACATTTTTGGTATTGACTTTTTGAAGAAAGCTGCCGACTCAACATTCAATGAGGTTCATCAAATATATGAGTCATCTGATATTGAACCCTTCTGAATTATTTATTGTGGTGCCACTGATGAATCAAAAATAATTATTAACTATTCTCATTTGTCATTTTTTGTTTTGTTTCTCTATGGTAACATAAAATAATCATGTTAATGAATTTCAGGTGTTTTCACCATGCAGAATTTTACTGCTCACAGCAAAAGTGCCAACAAAAGTAAGTATTACCTAATAATAAATGGATAGGAAAAAGAATATTTCAGATATTTTGAATGTCATTGTTTGAGAATTATTTTCATCATTCGGATTAATTTTTGTTTCTCCTGCTTTTTTAGATCGACTCTCACTTCCATTACCTGGAAATCCAAGCGTTGGAGAGCAAAAGAGGCAATCAGCTAAGTCTTACTGTAAATGATAAGGTGTACTCATTTTTGGTTGGCGAAGACTCAAAATGCAGCACAGAAGTTGACAATATGATAGGAGCCTTGAATAATGCAATCAGAAATATATTTCCGACAGTGCCGCTACAACACATAATAAGAAAAGTAGGTTGGAGATAAACACATGAAGTCAGTGTCATCAACCTTATAGGGTGTTTAAGGAATGGAAAATTTTATGATCTCATTTTATTCTTAAAAACCTCTGTTCGAAAAAAGTTGAATGTCGGTGAGTAGTGTACTTGTGAGAGTACTGGCTCAGTCGATCCTTATCTCACCCATTCTTTTACGAACTCGCATACGATGCGTCGAAAACAGAAACGATGTAATATATACTGACACTAGATTGCCAATTCCCATCAAGTTTCACAGAGAAACGCGTCTCGCATATGCATCTTGTTTAATGATGTGCGCATGCTCAGGTTTAGATTTTTTGAACTACAATGTTGTCAGATTTTCAAAAGAGTTATTGATAGAACTATATCAATCGAGATTAGACTAGATATTTCGCATGTTTTGCACATAATTGTGAACGTACATGAATACTGTGCTACTATACTGTTCATAATTTTAATTCGATCAAAAACGTCTGAGAACATCGGATGAAATTGAATAAGGAATTAGAACACGAAGGGGTTCGGCCTTATTTTTTTGAAATAAACGGCTCCCGCCACATTTTTCACAATTTAAATTGTTCTCATTTCATCGCAGATTGAAGTAATACCTCACACAAGGCTTCAACAACTCCGTGATTTGGAAGCTATAGCTAGCAGTCGCAGAGAAGTAGGACCATGCGGGGGCTTCTCCAACCAGTATGCATGTATGTGCGACTTTCATGGCATGACTTACAGAGAAGAAGTTGCCTGGGACATTGATAATATATACGTATCTCTCAACACGAGAGAGCTCAGTCTTAAAGATTTTGAATACCTAGATCAGAAGTAAGTTTACTGAATTACATAGATAAGGGAGGTAGTACTCAAGAAATTCTTTCTTTGCAGAGACCTTGTCCCTATTATAAGTGCTCTAGAATACAACACTTGGTTCACGAAATTGAGGGCCAATCAAGTGAAACTTTCTCATGACAACATTGATAGGATTCTTCATGTTTTAAGAAAATCCCTCAACTTAGAAGAGATTTACCTCGACAATTTAGGATTAAAGTCTGATTTTTCGAACAAGTTATCTGGCGTTTTGAAGCTTAATTTAGGCACAGCTCTGCATACCATAGACTTATCATTCAATCCAATTGAAGACAAAGGTATGGTTCAAGAAAATGTGTGTTTAAATTAAATTTTTCAGTTACATCTTTTTCAGGTGCTACATATTTGGGAAATTGCATTCCAAAGCTCAATAAGGGTCTAGTCCATTTGAATTTGTCCCATTGTGGTTTGAGCTCAAAAGGTGTCAATAATTTATTTAGCGCTCTCTGTAATAATTCTAGCTCTCTGACAACTTTAACTTTCCTCAATTTGAGCGGAAATAACTTGAAAGATGATATTACTGTAAGTAAACCATACCAAGAGGATCTATGAAACAACCGCGAATTGTTTTTTTTTTAATCATTTGTTATTAATTATTACTAATTTTATATAGAAATGTGTGAAGTTGCGTCTCAAATAACTTTAGTTTCTCCTGTGATGTAAATACAGGGTTTTTAAATTTGAGTTGGCACTATTGCTAAATTGGTTATTATGATTATCAGTTAAATAGGCAAACTATTAGTATTTTTCCCGCTGATTACGTCGATGAAAATATAACAAAAATCTAACATTGAGTTCACGAGTTTGTTAGTACCTATGTCAAAAAGTTCAATTTATTTGAATGAGATACAAAATTCGATTCTGAACGAGAACTATCATATAAACTATATTCCTAAATTCAAGAATGACTAAGCTATTGACGATTTATTCTTGTTTCATGGTAGAGGGCAAAGTTACAACAAATAATACCGCGACCATCCACAATTACATTGACAAATTTGAAAAATCATCGATAACTCAGTTGTCGGCGGGAAAAAATGCTACTAGTTTGCCTATTTAACTGACATTGTAGCTCCAATAATAATCAAGATAGCAATAGTGCCGACTTCAACAAACCCTGTATAATATTCATCTCAAACTATGGCGCAGTCGGTAGGACTCATACAAGTAATGCAAAAGCAGATATCTCTTGATCAGAATAACAATAATATTAGAATAAATGTTAGAAGATTTTTGTAGCTTCTGATGCTTGGATTGAGTCATTCCAAATAATCACCATCGAGAAAAAAATCATACCGCGAGTAGCAGCCTCCTTTCAAAAACCAGAAATTGACTCAACTGGCAAAATGTTTCCATGCAATGATTATTTTATATTCAATGTGAAAAACCAACCAAAAAACCCTATATTTTGTCGTTTTCAGCATTTTCATAACTTTTTATCCCAGTCGAATGCTCTACAACACATTGATATATCATCCACGGATATTATTTTAGAAAATGTAAGTGATCATGCACCATGTTGTTATAGGAACCATTCTGAAATCGCATTTTTTTTTCAGTTATTTGGTGCTTTAGTTCGCGGCTGTACAACTAACTTAGTCCACTTGAACATTTGTCGAAATCCTTTTAGTAGTAAGAAACATAAAGAAGCTCCAATATCTCTCAAGCAATTCTTCAGCTCTACGCTTAACTTGAAGTATCTCAACATGTCACATTGTAAATTACCACAAGAAGCACTGAAGTAAGATCAATATTATGTTTTATTCACAAAAGAAATAATGTTTTTTTTTTTTCAAGGAACTTATTGTTGGGATTGGCCTGTAATGAATTTACCAAAGAAATGACTTTAGATATAAGTAATTGTGGACTCGGTAGTCAAGGTGCACATGTGTTAGAGTCTTGTGTGCATGGAGTTAGGTGTATTTCTAGTCTTGATATTTCTGAAAACAGTAAGTATTCAAATCATGTATTTCATTTTATTTATTGCACCAATCACGGAACTTGTTTCATCATTTTGTATAGAAGTTTTTAAAATTTCAGTAGGGAATTGATCAGTTCAAAATGGGCATAAATCTCAAAAACGTATTGAAGACAATGTCCATATCAGGAAAATAGAAAATATTGAAAGATGTTTTTTTTATGTATGATAAAGTGATATTCATGAGAAAACCTAATCACAAATCTGCGATTGAGGGCTATAAAAATAACAAGTTTCCATCGTTCATATTCATTTTTATTATCATTGCGGAGTATTCGGATTCAGTTGTATTAATATTGTCTAGTTATTAAGTCCTTGAAACTTTAGACAAAACGCAGTAAGTGTGTCAAATTTGTCATCATAATACGATTGTAAACTTTCTGATGTACCATTGGAGTGCGGTTTTGGAGGGGATATAAAAATAATTTTTGTGGGAAAAATGATATTATTGTATATGATTTTTTATGCAGAAACGTCCGAGTAGGTACCTCATAATTCATCATTTCAAAATCTCGCCGATTTTAGTAAAAAAAAACTTGAACATCACTTTTTCTAATAGGTTGTTATGATAAATATGTGAACTGATACGCTCAATACGACTAATAAGTGATTAAATGGAGTGTCATTTGGAAAAACAAAGATATGGCCCTTCAAAATTTACCAAAATTATTGTGTCACACAGCAAGGTGATGTCACGAAGAAAATAGACGGAAAGATACCCAAGGCGCAGTTGCTTAGACATAGGCAAATTCCTAACTTTTTGGTATTCTAAATACCAAGTGCCAGACGATTTTTCAAAAAATAAGTCCCAGTAAACGCACGCGCATTAATTTTTAGAAAACATTAAACTGAGCAGTTGAAGTAAAATGCAACATGAAACGGATTTATAAAGCCTAACAAAGGACAAACTCAAATACGTGTGAAAATATACAAGGTTTCATTTATAAAACTATGTTGAAATTTGCCCCGCAAAAATGGTATACTCTGTATGGGGCGAAATAATTCTACAAACTGCACCTCAACCCACCTTTAACCTCCCCTTTGCATCTCCGCTTTCCATATCATCAACGGTGTAGGTGTAATATATCCAGCTTTCTCATATCATGACTCACCCTGTATAGCTTTCAATCTATAGTCGCTGCTGTAACCGACCCGTGCGTAACATGGTGTTGAAAATAATGTTTAGAGGAAGGTGAAGATGGGATATATGTGTTTTTATTAATTTGGCGGGAATGTCATCAGGTCAGCAGGTCAATTTGTTCTTCAACTTTTTTGATGCTTTCAAAATTTGTTCCTCACTGATTTCATTAATAATTAGTGGAGTACTGAAATTATACATTGAATCGGGTGGTTTACACGGATTATTATCAGTAGCATAGACACTTCTGAAGTGTGTGGCAAAACCATCAACAATTTCTTTTGGAGTTGAAAGAGAAAGATTTTGATGCATCATGCGACCAGGAATTCGGGATTCATTTTTATGCCATCTCAGCCAGTTTTGTTTTTCCAAGTTGGTGACTGGGCAATTATAACATTATCAAATGTAATTCTCAACTCATTCATATAATATAAAACAGGATAACTCTGTATTTTCCCCAAAAAATTATCATTTTCTGCAACATTTATCAACTAATAAGATTTTTTCTTTCAATTCATTTATAACCTGAACATGCCTGGATTCAATTTTCGACACATTTTTCATGCAATGCGATCCATGCAAACGATTCCTTTCAGACATGGATTCGGATTTATGCAACGTAGTGATAGCGATAAGCAAAAACAAGTCCCTCAGACACCTGAACATGGCCCGTACGATGAAGAAACACATGTCCCTCATCATGGACTCAGTAGTGCAGATAGTGCAAGACGACGAATGCCTCTTGCAGTCCCTCGCCATTCCCGACTGTCGATTGCGCTCCGATCTATTCAATCTCCTGAACGCCCTTGGCGACAACAAATCCTTGGAGACTCTCGACATCAGCGGAAACCTGATTGGAGACTCGGGCGCAAGGCTGCTAGCGAAAGCCTTGCAGATCAACAACAAGCTGAAAACCATAGTGTTCGATAGGAACAACATAACGTTCCAGGGGTACTATGATATCGCGTACGCGCTTGAGAGCAACCGCACTGTGCAGTATATGCCTTACCCAATTTACGACATAACGCCCTGTATGAAGGCCAACGCTGAGAGGACTGAGTTGCTCATGCGCAAGATACAGGATCTGTTGAATCGCAACGTTTCTTATAAGCAACAGTTGCTCAACTCGTTTCCTATGCAGCCGGGCTTCCTTCTGACCTCCAAGCAACAGGCTTTGGATCGTTTGGTGCAGCAGACGCAAGAAGCGATCAAGAGTCTGGCCTCAGATTCGATGTCTTCGAACAATGATATCAATCATGCCACTGGGGTGATTCAGGACGCTGAGAATTCGAAGCAGCTGTTGGTGAGGCTGCAAGAAGTGGCTCAGCACAGGGACGATAAGCATCCCAATCCTGTGGAGGATAAGCTGCAGCAGGCGGCTGCGGAAATACATACTAGTATTTGTGATTACATTCAGGTAATTGAAGTCTGCCTCACTTGAGGATAATGAGTGAAAATTGAGTAATATTAGATATAAATTCTGAATCCATCATAATCAGGCGAGACATCAGGATCATGACGTCTGAACGACTGTTCTTGTTTTTTTTTGTTTATATCTGACAATATTGACCATACATTTCCTCAAACTGAATACTTTCATTAAAACAAATTCAATTTTTTTTTCAAGACCTACAAATTTCTTCTACACAGCGTCATAAACGAAGACTACTTATTATTTTCCTGATCAAAAAATTGAAGATTTAGAGGTATTGAAACATTTGAAAGTATAATTAATAATCTGAATTTTCAAACACTGAAAAATCTAGGAACTCTCTAATAAGGATGGTCAGAATACAGGGTGATCGGAAATTTCTTGTAGTTATTGATAGGACTGGTAGAGTGAGTCAAAATAATGTAAGTTCTTCATATTAAAGAAATGTCTATCGCACTTCCTTACGAAGTTATTGACCTTGAAAGTTTGAATAAAACATTAGTATACTGTGCAACAAGTGGGGAAAGTGCTTTTCTCCACATGTTGCACACTATACTTTTTCTACAACTGCACTTATTCAAAGAATCCGAGTAATGTAGCTTATTGGTATTCATTTTATAATGTGGCGCTATGCCACATTGAATATTGTGTCCGAATAGTAGACGCCTTTCCTAGTTCCTCAAAGTATATCAAAAAAGTTCACTTTCCGAAAAAGATTTCATTGCTGTATTTTTTTATATTCCATAAATTTTTTGTTCATGCCAATTGGTACTTTTCTCTTGAAGTTTCCGGAAACAAATCCAACTTTCGCAGTTTCTTCCATTATCTCTGTCTCTGGTGGTGTATTTATCAAAATCGTCACATCTCAGAATATACATCATATTATTTATTATGAATTGTTGGAACAATATTTGATGGAAAATGCGATTGCTATCGAAAGCACTAAAGAGAACTACTCTAAAGAATTTAAAAAACCTCCTTCTGACAGTTGTGACAACTATTCAAAGCTGAACAGCAGCCAAGTTTTGGTGGATTTTTGTTGATTCTCCATGGAAATGTATGTGGTGTTGGCAAAGTGCCGTGAGAAAAAATATTTCTCACAGTATAGGCAATACATGGTTTTGAAACTAAGTAAGCTATGAGAAATGCGCTACTTTTCATAGCAGTAGTAGAAAAAATATACACCGTGTCCCAGCTAAAATGTCCCCCCCTGTAAAAAATCAACCGCGCGATCGAATGATTTGAAATTTGGTCACCCAGTATATTTGATGATGCTCACTCGAAATATATGCAATTGAATGAATCGTAGGTATACAGGGTAACACCGAAGAACACCTAAACTTTCCTATTTAAATAGGGACACCCAGTATATTATTCCATATTCAAGTAGAGTTCGTTATTACATATTCAACAATGCCGGGTTCGATGAAATTTTTTCAAACGAATACGAAGATATACCAAAAAAGACGATTCAATAAAATGATTACATTTTATTAATTAAACAGGATTGAAATCGAATGAAAAAGAAATAATCAAAACCTCAACTGCTTAATATGTCGTCCATTCTGCTGTAAACATTTCCTAGCTCTTTTGATTACGTTCATTGTGACCCTATGTATCACGTTGCGATCAATTTGTGCGCATAAATTTGTGATTTTCTCTTTCATTTCTTCCATATTCACAATTGGCGACTCATAAACCTATTGTTTCAAGTAGCCCCACAAATAAAAATCGAGTGGGGTGAGGTCTAGCATTCCAACTGGCCAGTTGCTATCACCATCGAGACAATTGGTGGTTATTAGATTTTCTCCTAACCTAATCTAATCTAATCATATGAATTTTTCATTGAATCGTTTTATTTTTTGCCATATCTTCGTAGTCGTTTGAAAAAATCCCATCAAACCCGGCATTGTTGAATTTGTAATAATGAACACTACTTGCATATGGAATAATATACTGGGTGTCCCTATTCAAATAAGAAAGTTGAGGTGCACTCTGGTGTGACCCTGTATACCTAGGATTTATTCAATAGCATATTTCGAGTGAGCATCATCAAATATACTTGATTGATTGATTGATTGATTGATTGATTGATTGATTGATATGCTTTATTGTCCAAAGAGTATAATATCTTATTGACAAAGTTACAATTTCCTAAAACTACAAATATATAATATCTATGTATTTTTTTAAACACAGTGTCACACATCCATATACACAATAAAATTTATAATTATTATCACAGTGAAGAAAATAAAATAAAATAAAAGATACATCATCAATATCACAGATTAAAAACATTCTCCAAAAAATTCTTGCAGACTATAATACGGTCTTTCACTGAGGAATTCTTTCACGGCCTTTCTGAAATGAGCATTATCCGTGGTTTTCAGATAATTTGGTAGGTGATTATACATTTTTAGACCATTGTATATGACTGAGTCCTTAACGAGGGTTGAGGTGGGTATAGGCAGTTTGAGGTGATTTGTTTGGCGGGTAATATAATGAGAATTTGAACTCGAAATGTCTTTTATGTTTATTGATAAGGCAAACTGTTTCTAATATGAAAATGGCATAAAGCGTCAGGATTTTATCTTTGATGAATAAAGGTTTGCAAGAGACTCGTGGTTTGACCTTATTTAAGTATCTTATCGCTCTCTTTTGTAAAATAAAAACTGGCTTCAAATGAGTATCAGCACAAACTGGGTGACCAAATTTCAAGTCATTCGATTGCGCGGTTGATTTTTTACAGGAGGGGACATTTTAGCTGGGACACGGTGTATTTCATGTATAACTTTTGATATGATAAATTGACTCATACTTATGCTCGTCTGGGTATGTAAACGGCTGTTTAGTGATTATGTTTTATACATAGGATATGGGACGAATTTTTCCATTTAATTTAGGCATTTTTGACAGAGGTGACAAAATTGCCATTTTGCTTCCACCGTTTGATTACTCCATATTTTCTTTACAATAATACAATACCTTATTTTAATGGATATCTTTTAGAGAAAATTGCATTTCAAGAACATACATCCCCTCAGTTTTCCTGTCATCTTGAGATGAGGGAAAACATTTCTAACTCCTGGTTTAGATTGAAAGTTAGACATGTTTTCCTGTAGTTTTTATGTCACCTCAATGTCAGATGATGACCTTGGCTACTGTGAATAGATGACTTTAGTAATGATGATTATGCATATATTATGGACTTGCAGAAACTTTCAAGGTCAATTACTCCATAAGGGAATGTGATATACATTTTTTTATATGAAATTCCAATGTTATTTTTGCTCACTTTCAGTCCTATCATTTATGACATGACCTTTCCGGACACCCTGTATTTATTTGGTCATGTAGGTACTTCAAAGTTGTTTTGAAATATCATGAAAAGATTTAAATATTGTGTGTTCTTGATTTTTACAAATTTTGTTGATATTTCAAATGGATGGAGCATCTGGAAATTATTTAAAAAAATTAGATAATTTTGAATGATTCAATTTCAAAAGTTAATTGCTGATAAACTGAATCTGAACAAATAGTTATTGTTGAATAGTTCTTTGTAATTTATAATTTTCAGGATAATTGATGGTATTCAAATGCTAGAATTCAGTGTGATGTAGTGTTTTTTGAAAAGTTAGGAAAATTTACAGTGTATTTGCCAGAATGTTCCTACTAAGAGTGATTTACTGCCCATCAATTTTGCAGAGGGCAGTGGATTGAAGTAAAAGTGATATTTACTCTGCACTTGTGCTAAACATAACAAGGCTAATAGCTATTTTGCTCTCATTTTAGGCTACCACTGAGAAAATGTTGAAGTGTTGTAAAGAGCAGTGTCCTTATGTTCTGCATGATGAAGAAACAGTTCAAGAAATCAAGAGAGAATGTAAAAAAAAGAAACAAATTCCTTTGGATTTTGTTACAACTTGTATAAAACAGCAATCTGGTGTTGATATTATGAATAGAACCAGGTAAGGGTGAAACAAAGGAAATTGTGTGTATACAAGTTGTATTTTATAAGGCACAATTCAGGTATATTGGTTATCTTGAAACCACTGTTGCAGCCACAAACATATCCTATTTATGTTTTCCTGTAATTCTTCTGGAGTTGTACTACTTAGTTCATGAATAATGTTTTCTTTGTAAGACATTTTAGCTTCATCTAAAATCACTTGAAATATTTCACACTGCACATTGTCCTCAAGCTTTTTTCCACTATACCCCCTACTGGTCAGTCTATCAAACAGGGTTGTGTTATCAGCTCTCAAAACAAACACTACATCAAACCATCTCTCTGGGAAAAATTCACAACTATGGTAGTCTACGATATTTCCTCCTTTACTCATCACTTGTTCTAAACCATCCATGAGTTTGTCTTCGTCGAGAACGGGGCACTGATAGACTTCATCATATTCTTCCAAGCAGTTGTATTCTTTGGCAATCTTCGAGATCTCTAACCATTGTAGGCCCGTCGTTTCTGCTAATTTTTGACAAAGTGTTGATTTTCCGACTCCTGGTGTACCTGTTATCAGAATATTTGGGGCAGCACGTTTCACATTCGGTACTATTTCCTCAATTTCTTCTGAATCTTCATCCATGTTGTAGTAACTTGCTGCTTGCTGTTTACATATAAACATAACCTACAAAACAGCTGACATAACCTAAAAGTGCATTCTTCTTTTTCTTCACTATTTAATTTGTAATCTTAACCAGTGGCGGACATGATTTAGTTGTGTCTACTATATCGTTGGGTCGGATGAAAAATTTAGTTATGTCTACTATATCGTTGGGACGGACGAAATAATTTGCTCATAAAGACAATGTACAGGATGTTCCATTGTTTTACTTGTTTCAATTTTGATCTGCCAAACATTAATCGGTCTTAAGTAAATAATTTAGATTGCCTAAACATAGATACAAATAATGTCTTGCATTGAAATTTTGAATACCCTATATTTAAAAGTATACTTAAGTATACTTATCACTACAGGACCCTTCAAGTTTCGTGAAAATGCACTTACTTCGATATTTCTTTACAAACACTCGACCCATATTTGAATGAAAATAAGATAATCTCTGAGATGTCGCGTTTAGGTAACAGTGCGATATCACAATCGTTCCATCGGTGCGATGTTCATATGCAAACACATCTGAGACATGACATCTCTGAGATGTCGCAATGAAGCAACACTACGATATTACGAATGTTTCATCACAGCCATGTACAGAAGCAAATACATCTGCGACATGACATCTCTGAGATATTGCGATTAGGCAACACTGTGATATTACGAATGTTCTATCGCTGCGATGTACAAAAGCAACACATCTCTGCGACTTGACATCTTTAAGATGTTACGATGAGGCAACACTGCTATATTACGAATGTTCCATCACTGCGATTTACAGATGCAAACATATCTGCGACATGATATCTCTAAGATGTCATGTTGAGGCAACACTGCGTTATCACGAAATTTGCATCCCTGCGATATACAAATGTGGACTTCGTTTTCAAAAAATTCAAATATTTGATATTTAAATTCCTGTTGGGTGAAAACGAATACAGGAATATTCGCGTTAGAAAATAAGCGTACGCCACCTATCGGAGTTCTTGAAAGCAGTCAAAGCGGCATGTTTACTTTGTTTTCATTGGTTTGCATTTGTTTTTGTCTGTGTTGATTGGTGATATCATCAAAACAAACCACTCAGAAGTGTTCAAGTTATTGCCGTCAGGTGGGGTGACGTGTTATTTTTTATAGCGAATACCTTACAAAGTGAAGCTAACTTCGTAAACATTCGTTGAATATTGCTTTCAAACTATTCTTGGTTTTCTTATATCTCGCCGACACACATTACATAATCTTTCATACAAATACGAGTAACTGATCTCATCCTGATAGCTATGCCTGTAACTAAGCGCTGCTGAAAACACGATTGAATGGATAGGAGACCCGAGGGACCACCAACCGGTCACAACAATTAATACAGATGTCATCAGAGGTCAGTGGTGTATTATCACATCATGTCGACATCAGTGGCAATATGAATATTATTGAAATTAGTGTTCATATGTCCGAAATGTGAACTGAAAATAAATTGCAGATATACATGTTGCTTACATTTTGAATCAGTATATTCTCCACCAATTGAATCGACCGTACACAACGAAATCTAATATGCGACTGACGAATTCATGGCTTGATTCATTATCCTGATGACTAATTAGTTACGTCATCCTTCTAACCGATTAATTCCCGAACAATAACATTTTATCTCTGACAGAAGATGATATGTAAAAATAGTTTTACAGGAGGTGACAAGAAATTCCGGATTTTTTTCGAAAATATCTCATGAACCTCTTCATTCAGTACTCTCGTAAAATTGGGTTGCCATTAAAAAAATACCGCGTTGACGTAGTATCCAGATACGAATCATTCTATACAGGGTGTCCGGAAAGGTCATATCGTAAATGATAGGGCTGATAGAGTGAGCCAAAATAATGTCAGTACTTTATATAAAAAAAATATCTATGGCACTTCGTAACAAAGTTATTGACCTTGAAAGTTTGAAATAAAAAAATATTCAAAGTATAACTTTCAAACAATTGCTATGGTATCACTGATATTCAGGCAACTAAACTAACTTATACTGATATGTAAACGGGTGTTGTATCCAGGATGTGTGATTCTTATTTGGACATTAAAAGGAAATAAATTCACACGAGTAGAGTCCAAGATGTGTTCCATTCGTCCCTACAGAATCAGTTCGAAATATTGAACACTGTCAATTTTAGATGGAAAAACTCTGAAAGTAGTTGTTTTTCTGTTGAATATTCAGAATGATATTATGTTCATATCTTTATATGAAGGAGAATGCAAATTCTCAACTTCAGAATGTCGTTTTATTTTCAAATTCAAATCCTTATCGTGTATATTCAATAGATGTAATTCAATGTTCGTCGTGGCGTATAGCCAGGAAAGTAGTAAATTTTCATCACATGAATGCGAATTCTCAATGTATTTCTTCATAAAAATATCCATTTTTTTATGTTCATAATTATATCCGAGAATATTCCTTTTCAAAATTAAAGATGCCGAAACTTCATTTTTTCAAATGGAACATCCTGTTTTTTTTTCGTTAACAGTTCCAGATCCATATTACCCTCGATTTTTATGAAGTATGTCTTATACCTTAATATTACCGTATTCGATATAAATCTATTTATACGAAAACATCTATATTTTTCGAAAACTGACAAATATAACATCAATAAAGTATGTATGCTTGAAATCAGAAGAAAAAGCTCTTCAGATTAGAAAAATGGTATACACGGTGTCCCGAATAGAAAAATAAAATGTCGAGCTATTCGCACTCCATGTGCAAAGATGTTCCATTCTCCAACTTGCTATATATAAGGCTATTGGTACCAAAGTATACATTCTTTTTAACATTTTGAATTTCCATTCGATTCCATTAAATTTCATGTGTTGAAGAATGGTATATCAAATTTCGAATAGTTTTGAATACCTATAAATTAGTCTCTACAAAATGGCGAATGTTTTTGCTACTCATTTTACTACCTATTTTTAGTACCTCTGTATAAGTTAACTAAGCGAATAATTACATCCTAAATGAATACGAAATTTTGAAATATTTGTGTTAACTCATAAATGGCGAATATTTTCACACCTTGTTGCATTTATCTAGATCCTCTGTATCAAAAGGTGATGAAAGCGAATTTCAAAATTTTTCCATTGTTATATGGAAATATACCGATGCAAAATACCAACCACGTGATGACTACCTCCTTATATATTATACTAAAACACTTACCATCTTGAAAAAATACAACTTTCACACACTCAAATGAAAATACAACCGAATATGAATTCTAATTTTCCACTGTTAAATGCTTCGAGTTCTTTTTTGTTATAACTTGAATCGACCGTACCTACTCGATGAGGTCTAGAACGAGACTGCTGAGAATGGTTTGATTCATCATTCAAATGACTAACTAGTTACGTCATCCTTGCAATCGAATAATTCCCGGACAAGTATGACTAATTTCGATATCGATAGTAGGTATACGGGGTGTAGTGAAAACAAATGTAAGAATATTTTCTCTCATTTTCTATACGAGGTGTTTTTGAAATAAGTTCGTATATTCAGCAAATCAATTAAATATAGGCTAACATATATTTTTGAAACGATCTCCTGAATCCAAACATGAAAAAATATACAGGGTGCAGTTCTATTTAAAAATCATAACTTGGTGTTCGTTTGAACCGGGAGTAATAAAACAAATTGTTTTTGGTAAATAAATAGGCCATTGGGTATACTTACTACCCACAAAATTTCACAATCCGATCTCGAATGATTCAGTTAGACCACTGAGTGGTTGAACTGAAGATGATTTTACTCATCACGTGTTTATCGAAATTATTTGAATTGAATTGTCTCTGGTCCATTGACAACATATTTATACATTTCAATATTCATTTCAGAGAACTCAATATAATGGTGGCCTCTCAGTTATCAGAACAAGTGACTGATGAGGTGTACGAGGCTTTAATGAGGAGTTACAAAATACTAGTAGGAGATGAAAGTGCAATAAGAATTGATTCGCCTCCGAGAAGGTCTAGGTTAAGTAGTTCGGACAGTTCCAGACATGGCGCCAGTGATATTTCCATAACGGATAGTAGCCATCAGTCTGATCATTCGCCATTGGTAAGTCACTTTTGAGGGCAATTTGTCACATTATGTGAAATCGGTAATTTTTTTTCGAAAATTTGGACCCCGCACTTTTTCTATATAAAAATGGCGTCCTGTTGACTTTTCTGAATTTCTGGTATATTTCAGTACTCGACCTAATAATTAAACATGCCAAGTCCCGATCCAATCCTATGACCTGTTTTTGAGATACAGGGTGTTGAAGTTGAGAAATGCCCCCTTTTCATCTGCAGTATTAAGTAAGAAGCGGCCGACTCAATTCAAAATATGAATCGATTTGATATAAGAGGAGCATGTCGAGTGATAATTCTTATTTTGTAATTTTTATAAAGTTGTAGTATTGATATTTACAAATTAAAAATAACATATTAATTCAAATGTGAATCACCCTGTGATGAAGATCAGTTTTGGTTGATTCTGTTCATGGTTGTACTATCCAAAGGTTTAACTGAAAAACTGCTAGCAAAACATTCCTTTCTTGGAGATATGGGAAGATGAAAAGCAGACATTCCTCAATTTCAACACCCTCTATCTCAAAAACTAGTCATAGGGATTGGGACTTGGCATATCTGATCATTAGGTCGAGTACAGTGATATACCAAAAATTCAGAAACTTCGACGGGACGCAATTTTTATATATCCTTTGGTTTGTTTTTCAATGAAAATGTGAATAAACTATTCATCAACCGATTCCATTGAAAATGTTTCAAATATCTACTCCAAAAACATCGATCGCATATCATGAAGAGTGCAAAATCACAATTCTTTCATTTAGGTATTAAAATGTTCTTGAATGAAATCATCAATTTCAGATAGTGTTTAATCATTATATTTCATGAGAAAATGTTCTCATGAACATGAATATAATATATTCGATTTCTTTCTTCAAGTTCGTCTATCGATTATGATGAAACTTGGGGGGTTTTTCAGCAGCACTAAATTCTGCGGAAAAACTTTTTTGTATTCGAATAAAAATAAAATCGATGTTTTACTCACAAAGGAAACGAGTTTTGACGTGAGTTCATATGAACATATTCTCATGAAATATGGCATGGAATCGCACCCAGAAATTAATTACCTGTATTATATATGATCTTTTCGAATAATAAGTTGTTGGTTCATTTCATGCAGAAATTGGAATATTTGAACTTAGTAAGTACTATGATCAATGTGACTTTTTTGTTCTTAAATAGGTACCTATCCGGTTATATTTTGATCCATTGTGAAATCTAAGAAATTGACAGTGACAGATTACTTGCAACCAAGACTATATTCGTTCCTCTTTAACTTCTGCGATGCCGGATTAAGAACGGTTACGTGGCACTACATTCATTGTTAAAGACCTGTTAGTAGTCTGTTTTGTTGTTTTTCAAGTTTTCTTTACTAAATAGGAACATGTACTGTACATTTCTAGATGTTCAGAAAGATTAATCCATTTCCTTTCATAATATATTAGAAGAGGTTTTCTGGAATACTGCCGGAACTCTATAATCCATTGAGTTAACAATTCAGGTAGGTACTTTATGTGTAGAAAATAACAAAAAATATCATTTACTAATCATCATTTCCGTCGACCTCGTATTAACGACTAAGTTCAATGTATATGAAATCGTTCATTAATGACCCCTATTAATGGACGATTTGTCTATTAATGCACCATTGTTTCATAGGCAACAGAACATACACCGCGTGCATTCATTGTTTATGCTATAACTAGCGGAATCTGCATTTAAATCGAAAATATGGATTTCTTCGACGATTTTCCGTTAACGGGTTCGCCTTTCCAAGTTTCTGACACGATTTTAATCCCTGTTTTCTAACACAAGGAATTTATTTTCTATGTTGATCATTTCGACAAATGTCAAATGACACTAATGTCAGTACTGGGTGATTCTTAGCAGTTTCCGGATGGATGATGAATTCGCGAACCAAGTTTTCTTCATTGCAGGAGAAATGAGAAATATAGTCGACGGCGAAATTTTGTAACCAACTTGTATATTAAAAGGCGATTAATGATCTCGAACATTAACGCACTCGCTCGCTCGCACTAGTTGGTTAAATAACTATTTCACAACGGAATAGATGATTAATTCATGTTTTTTAACTCATATAATACCTATTTATATTGGCTTGTATTCACAATGTAAGATGAATGTTTACACATTTCATATGGGTCAGTATATAACCGCTCACCTAGTATTTGATGATTATTGCTTGTAGCATTGTATTGTATTTTATGTTTATCAATCCACAGCTTATAGAAGTATGGCACAGTAATAATTAGGCAGAACATAATATGGATCTCATTTAATTTCATGTCAAAAATAATTATTATTCGTGCAGCCATTGTTAACTGTCATTATCAAAGATACACAACTGTTTCAATCACCAAACTATCAGTACTTTTGACTTGAAGAAATTTCTTTGAATAAGCTTGATATACTTGGAGATTCCAAAGTTTTTATATATTTCCAAAGTAAGTATTTGAATATTCTAGAAATTCAATACATGATAAATCATTCCGAAAGTAGAAGATGGATATTCTTATAGTATTCAAGGTAGATACCTTCTGTTATGGTAGAGAAGTACTTATACATGGTCTCCCGAAATTACATAGAAATATTTCTACCACGGATTCTAGGAACTATAGCCATCAGAAAGAGGACCCTCTGTGATGAGATAACGAAATTTTGTACATGCATATTACTTTTCATGCTCGATTTGGAAATGTTGAGAGTTTTCCAACATTTTGATGAGGGGCGTGGGAAATAGGTGGAGCTAGGGACTTTTTTCTATGCCATTTTCGGCAGCTTGACCAGGAAATATGAAAATATCATAATTTTTACGTAAAAATGATACTCTTGTTTAGTTTCGATAGCATTAACCGTTTTCGAAATAAATCCATTTTAAAAGTCTACTGCGTTAAAAAATAGTACTTTTAATATTTTTCATTTTATTCTCCTCATTGTTCCTCCCATATTTGGAATCACACATCACAAGTAGATGTCGAAAAAAGTGTATTTTCAATCGAATCATAATTTTTGGGAAAATTTGGTACCCTATAAGGAAGAAGCACTCTATTTTCAGACTCTTAAAATCATTTCATGTCGAAAATGGTGAGTAACATTGGAAATAAACAAGAGTATCATTTTTACTTAAAAATTATGATATTTTCATATTTCCTGGTCAAATTGACTAAAATAGTATAAAAAAATGGAGGACTTAATGTCCCTAGCCCCACCTATTTTTCATACCCCTGATAAAAATTTCGGAAAATTCTCAACGTTCACGAATCGGACATGAAAAGTTATATACATGTATACAATTTCAAGGGCTTCGGAAGTATTTGCAAAAAATCTTCATATCGGGACCTCTTTCAGATGGCTATAATTCCCCAGGATGCCAATTCTAGGCTCATGTTTATATGAACTTATTTTACTCTTTTCGTTCCTAGAATCTGTGCTTGAAATATTCATTTCGTGACACCCTGTATACTTCGGTAATATTGAAAGACTTCTGTTTTATTCAATTATTTTACGCAAATATTTTCAAATATTTTACTGAAATATTTGTTAATATGATTTAAAAACATATTCCAACAAGTATTTTGTTAGTATGAATTAATATAATTACCTGTACGAGATGAAGTATTCAAATACTGTTCAGTTTTTATGCACTGATAATTAGTTGTAAATCTAATTAATGCCAAGCCCTGATTTCTAGTGTTACCATTTGAAGAAACACATGTGCATAGTTAGGAGCTTATTGGTTCTCGATGATCGCACGTATTTGTCTCACTAGGAAAAACATCGCTATACAATATTATTCCTCTTCGATTTCTAGGCGACCCCACATTTGTCAATAAAACGAAAAAGCCTGCACGGCAGAAAACTACGGCCTAAATCAGTTGTCGACAGCGTGGAAGGTATATCGGCAGACGACATTCCCTCTTTGCTTCCCTCGCTGCCTGGCAACTCCGAGGAAGAAGATTCCGTCACGGAATTGCCCAATGCCGGTGGTCAGCTGCAACACTTAGTCAAAGGAATTTTCTTGAATAAAGGTGTGTTAAAACATGTGTAATATAAATTGATAGAATGGGGTTGAAGGGTTGGAGGAAGAAGATTCCGTCACGGAATTGCCCAATGCCGGTGGTCAGCTGCAACACATAGTCAAAGGAATTTTCTTGAATAAAGGTGTGTTATAACGTGGGTAATATAAATTGATAGAATGGGGTTGAAGGGTTGGGGGAAGAAGATTCCGTCACGGAATTGCCCAATGCCGGTGGTCAGCTGCAACACTTAGTCAAAGGAATTTTCTTGAATAAAGGTGTGATAAAACATGTGTAATATAAATTGATAGAATGGGGTTGAAGGGTTGGAGGAAGAAGATTCCGTCACGGAATTGCACAATGCCGGTGGTCAGCTGCAACACTTAGTCAAAGGAATTTTCTTGAATAAAGGTGTGTTAAAACATGTGTAATATAAATTGATAGAATGGGGTTGAAGGGTTGGAGGAAGAAGATTCCGTCACGGAATTGCCCAATGCCGGTGGTCAGCTGCAACACATAGTCAAAGGAATTTTCTTGAATAAAGGTGTGTTAAAACATGTGTAATATAAATTGATAGAATGGGGTTGAAGGGTTGGGGGAAGGAGATTCCGTCACGGAATTGCCCAATGCCGGTGGTCAGCTGCAACACTTAGTCAAAGGAATTTTCTTGAATAAAGGTGTGTTAAAACATGGGTAATATAAATTGATTGAATGGGGTTGAAGGGTTGTATCACAGCCGGCTCTATAACATGCCGCGGTGAGATAAATGCAACACCGCATTGCCGACTGGCTACCACCATCATTCTCTGTCTTTGAAATGAATAATTGAACTTTCATAAAAATAAAATAGCAAGAGATAATGGGTCAGGTCACAGTTCAGTATTGAAGTGGCTCGAGATTCTTCGAGTTGTTGGTTCCAGGGAAGTATTGTGGAAGATCAAATTATAACAAATTCGCGATAAACATATTTACTGACAACTAAAACCTGATACCATTTTCCAACACTGAATTGGTATACTAGTGGTACATACAAAAAAATCGGTCTCTGATACTCAACGGAGACCCTCTCTCTGCTGTCTCTCGCTCACCACTGCCCAGTTCAGTCCGACCACCCCTTCCCTTTCATCCCGCACTTCCTCACAAGACCCGATACACTGGGCGACACAAGTGAGATCGCGGAACCACTACAGTATACAGTTTCATGGATAAAATAAACAACTGGCAAGTCCCATTTTACATCAACCATTCAAGTTATTGCTTGGAGAAATATTCAAGTTGGAAGATAGTTGTTATAAGTATCGTTTGTTAGGTGAAATTTAAAAAAATCTTGCAGTTCATTCAGTTCATACACAGAGTGAGAAGTGGTGTATAACATAAAACACATAAGTACACAGACGAATATCAATTTTTTTTAAAGTGTACTTATTTCAATTAATCGATCAAAATTTCAAGACTTCTAGAATGAAATAAGTTTTTTTCACAAGATACTTTTTTCAGATATATCAAACTTTTCTCTATTAAGTCATCAAATGAGCTAATTTTATCTTAGCGGTCTGTATCTTGCTAGAATATATATTATATTACATATCCGAAGTTGTGACCACCTACTCAATTTCATATCATAGGAAAAAATCCATTTTGAATCTTTGAATCCCAACTTATTATCACCTGGTAAAACTTGGACCTGCATCTCATTCAATACTACAACTTGGGAAGTTGATTTCCATACATCTGAATGTGAACCTAATTGATAGATATGGATTTTACTTTCTGCCTTGAGGACTTTCCAATTCCAACAACTATCAATTTTTAAATTTTTCTGCATATCTTCCAACTACCTGCTCGTAATTGAGATTGAGGTAAGATACACACTAGTCGAATTCACGCCACATACTAATTTGATATAGTGATCACTCCGAGTGTAAATAGTATTTGATGCAATCATTCGTTGACTGCCAGTACTGCCACCATAAGAGAGTTGAAGTGCTCTCAGGGGCCAAGCTGAGATAGTCAGATAAAAACATTAGCAAAGATTAAGTTGAAAATATTAACCCCAAAAACTATTCAACCAGTCGTACAGATTTGGCTTGGAAAAGCTTAGTATATTAGAAGGCCACCAGTGAAATAACATCCCTTTATCTGCAGGCCGGGAATTTCAGTTCCACATTCAAACATATTTTGTATGTGTAACATATGTGATTCACGTGGCACGACGTTAATAAATATCTGTGCATCTCCAGTGATCCACATGGCATCCAACGTGTTAAAATCATCACAAATACTTTGTTCAATAGTTAAAAACGACACCTTCGTAAAACGCCAGCTCTCGAATGATGGCGTCGTACACCCTCTCACGTGGCTATAATGATATTTGTTGATATATTCCTCTTTATTTCTCAATAACCATTGCGATCGAGCAATTCCAAATATTTCGACGCTGTCAAATTTTTAATTAGTCATTACCTTATCAGAGTCAATATGACCATTGACAACAGTATTCATATTCACAGAAGGCAATGGTTTCACCTCGTCGGGATTATTATCACTTATTGAATATTTTAATATCATATCTTGCAAGATGTTTCAGTGCCAATAAGAATATTCTTATATTTCTAATTAATGTGACCCTGGCAACAGCGTAATGCTTTACAGTTTACAGAAATATCATAATATCATAATAAATTCCCAAAGAAATGCTCACGTTTAGAACACGACAGAAAATCGTCAACGGTACCGACATTACAAGTACTATAACGCGTTGACTGTCTATTGGCAGTCGGTAAACATCGATAATTCACTATTGGGTGAGATAAACAGCGTTGCCGTCTCGAATGTCTCTTTAGCTTGTTTGAATACTTCATTATCCATCACTCTCAAGAATCAAGATTTAACTGACTTTACCAATGTCATGGATGAACTGAGCAAGATAGTTTAGGAATCACTTGTTGTTCTTGTTCTTTTATAAACTAGATTGTGACATTGTGACATGGATATTAAAATGATGTCATCATAATTTGACGATCATTAAAATGTCGAGCATGCTGAAATCGTTCTTTTAGGTTTGATAACCTTGAGCCACAATATTACGGGTCGCAATGAAGGGCAAAATAGACCCACTCACTTTCAACCTGACCTAACCTAGCTATAAACTTGTAGATATTTATTCATGTTTCCCTATCATGAACAAATATGTCAGCCCCATTTGGCAAAACGTATTAAACTTCTAGAAAAATGTTGCTCACTGCCTCACAAAGATTATGCTGGAGTTAAATAATAAAAAACTCGAAAATTGTCATCATTTGGATATAATATGTAGAGTTGAATGAGAAATAACATGTGAAAATTACGTATGATACGCCAATGTCCTCGATATAACCTAAAAACAAGAAATGTCAGAAATCTAGTGTTTATCCCCAGAAATGAATAAATATGGAACTATATAACTGTTTCACAAACACTTCAGAGTGAGAGGGGACGAGGATCTGTCCGTACCCTGTTAAGATGACAAATACGTCAATTTACATCAAGGGACCCTAAATCAATCGATCGATTTCCAGGCCGCCCTCGAAGGACCAAGACGCGAGCCCCGACGCGGCCTGCCGTCAAGCCGCCCGACGACGCCGACTCGGTGTCGCAGGACCTCGGCGAGGGCCTCGACACGTTCTTCCGGCCCGGCTCCGTCACCCCGACGTCGGACGACTGCGGCTCAGGCCGCGCGGCTGCCAGCCCTAGCCACGACTTTGCGTCGCCCACGCTCAGCGAGGAGAGGAGGACGGTCAAGTTGAGCAGGAATTCGCCGCTTCTCAGAGGTGAATTGTCTCCCGGAGGTCTCCTAGACCTTTTTGATTCTCTGTTGCCCATGAATTAGGAAAATTTACGAATCTGAAACGAGAAATGATAAATGTTATCGCGTCTCTTAAATCACGGTCGCTAATTCCATTTATATCACGTCAAAAGATTTTGTTCTAACCACAATTTACCCCGACTTCGGACGAGTTATACCCTTAAACAGTGACAACTTTACAGCTGAATTGAATATCATTAACAAATCGTAGTTAACAATAATTTTCCTATTCATTCAATTGATCAAGAAATATACCATTAAATTTTCAAATCACTTGTTAACAACTTCTGTTTCAACATCCAAATATTTCCCCCTTTCTTTGGTTCTGTTTCCCTCGAACTAGAAAATTCTGAAAAAAAAGCTCAATACCAATAATACCAGAAATTTGCATTTTCCTTTCAAAACCGCCAATACTCTAGGGAGTGCCGTAGTCAACAGAAAAAACGAGATTGATATTCTAGAAAAATCTGGTGTTTATAAATTAAATTGTAAAAATGATGATTCTAATGTGTGCTACATTGGTCAAACTGATCGCAAGTTCAAAGCCAGAGTATCAGAACACAATCGCATTATAAAAAATAATTTTGAAAAAGTTTTTTTTTGAGTCCAATTCTGTTTTTCCTAACCATATTGTCAATGACAAATACTCTTTCGATCCCAATTCTAACATAGAAATTTTACATATCTGTGACAAAGCAAAGGAACTTGACCTCCTTGATACTCTGGAAATTAATATAGCTGTCAAAAACTCCAACCCCAACTAACTCAATTCGATTCTGGGATTGCCTTCAAAGCCTGCTAACCCTGGCTAACCACAACAAGGTAACTCTTCAATGGGTGCCAGGGCATAAGGGAATTGAAGGCAATGAAGCAGCTGACGCTCTTGCCCGGCAAGGGTCTGCGACGTTGTTTATGGGGCCGGAACCTGTGTTCGGTATCCCCAAAACCTCAATACGCGGCTGGCTGGCAAGGTGGATGCAAGAAAGACATCAGGCATACTGGAACAATGTCCCAGGACAAAGACACAGTAAACTGATGGTTGGAAAACTGTCCAAAACAGTGACTAACGACATTCTGAGCCTAAACAGAAGTCAGATCAAACAAGTGACGGGACTAATAACCGGTCACTGCCCCTTGAGGAAACATATGCATCAAATGGGCATCTATACAGACGAACCCATATGCAGACTATGCAATGAGGAGGAGGAAACTGCCACCCATGTAATACTGGAGTGCGAAGCACTAGCGCGTTGGAGATACAACCTTCTGGGAGCAGTAAACTCTCAAGAGGCATTTTCAAAGAATGATCTGGTGAAGAGGCTGCTAAACCTAATCAAGGTAGCGAACCTATTCACCTAAGTCAACAGCACGATCAGGAATACAATAGGCCCAAAGGCTGCAGTGTTTTGGGCTTCAAACCCTGACTGATCATTCTGCTATTAATCAATCAATCAATCAACTCAATTCGATAGTCTTAAATTATTCAACTCCTTGTTATTTAAACTACAATTTTGTTCTGTCACTTTGAATAAAAACATTCCTTGGTTTTGACTTGACTGGTGTCATTCTCATGTTGTGTATTGTCCAGCGAAATTGTTATCAATTGTCAATTGTCGATTGTCATTTGTGATTAGTTAACCTAATTCAACAGATTCAGGCCCATGTTGGTTCAATTTAATATTTTATTCATATATTATTTTCGAAAATTAAACTCTTATTGAGCTGTTATCATGGTTCCCTAACAGTTACTCACCCGTACCGTAGCATTTTCAGGAGAAGATTGAAACTCTTTAATCTTCTTCTGGAGATGCTAACATAGTTAGCGAAACACGTGTCGGGGCGTTTAAAAACTCGGTTTGGTTAGTGGTAAAACAGTGTATTGTATCGATAGTATTGATTCTGTCAGAAATCAACGAGATCCAATTGCTTGGTAACATCACGAGCCACAGGACAAGTGGCTCTATGTTGGTCAAAACGTAGTTTTTTTGCGAAGAATAGCTAGAATCGTTCTGATAGGTCTCAAAATGTGTCCTCGCCGGAAGTCATGGTTATTTGAATTTTTGTTTCCTTGCAGGCCTCATGACCCCCACCCCGCGATCAAGGTCCTCTGACAACCTGGAGAAGTTCTCGCCGTCCTTCCTACGGAAGGCGGCCGTCGATTCCACAGTGTCGCCATTGACGAGGCGACTGACAGGTGACAGCGTCGCGTCGCGGGACAGCACCGACAGCCTGACGGTCGGCTCGGGCGGCGACGGTTCGCCGGGGGGCAGTCTTGGCAAAGTGGTCGCTACCGACGGAACTAAAGGTAAACAATCAATCTAAATATACTTCTTCTGCAACCGACACCAAAGTCGTCCATCTCAATACCAAAATTAGCTCTTGAATTGACGTTTCTATTACTGACACAAACATAGGTATGTTGCTAGGCAACACTTTTAGTTCCTAGGAGCTAAAGTTGAATTTTAGTTCCTAGGAGCTAAAGTTGCACTTTAGCTCCTAGAAACTAAAAACGATCTACTGGACGTCATCAAGAATAAACAACATTGTGACGGTGGTTATTTGGGTTGAGACGCATACCTGATTTGTTTTCGATTTCAGCAGATTTGGCATTTCATACTTATGCTGGAGATATAAATACACCTATATTATAGTTTAGTATTGGAATTATAAACATCTCAGTTTAGTATTTTTGTTTTGATCAGGGAAGCCTTCAAGATTCAAATACTTGCTTGATCTGTATTTGATTCGTTATTCTCGGGATGGATAACTTGTTTTTGAATAATCACGGCAAGCAATAGTTTTTTTGTCTCAAACAACGATATTGTTTAGCTTAATTTTGATCATCAAGTCAAACACAGTGTAGTATGGAGAGGAATAAATAATCACTATTATCATTGTTGATATGCTCACTAACCTAACATTTTCCACGTCTTGTTCCTATAGCTGGCACTGACACGGTATTTGCCATTAGAGCACCTGGTCCATACACAAATATGTTACTCTGTGGTTGTATTTATATTGAAACTACAATAATTAGAACATCCTAGAAAACCTAACCTGCTGTTAATGCAGGTAGTATATTCTCACCACATGGATTATTTGTCAATATTTGTTGCATTGCATACATATGGCACGGCATTGGTGGTTACTTCACATGTTTATTTGAGTTAATTGTTTCGGTTGCAGAAAAAATAGCATGTTTCATTCGGATCAAAAGTGACTTTGTTCGACTCGCAAATTTTGCTTTCGCTCGGCTTCGCTGAACGCTCCGCCTCGCAAATGCAAAAATCGCTTGTCAAATAAAGTGTCACTTTTGATCCTAATAAAACAATCTACTATTGTTTTGATCAGGATAGCCTCCAAGATTCACATACTTGCTTGATCAAATATGAATTGGCTCCTATATTGTTGAAAATTATTACAAAATCTTTCAAAAGTGGAATTATTCCTGACAAAATGAAAATTTCGAAAGTATTGCCTGTAAACAAAACAAACAGTTATAGAAAAAATTATGAATCAACGTCTACTCGATTTCCTGGAAATAAAAATTTGCTATACAGTGGTCAGTATGGATCCCGTAGATCGAAAGACACTGAAGTAGCCGTTATGGATGTTATTTCAGATATCCAATTACGAATCGATGAAAATGATCAATGCGGTTCATTGTCATTAGATCCATGCAAAGCTTTTGATACTGTCAACCATAACATTTTATAAAATGAATTATTTGCAATTGGTGTCAGAAGAAGAATTCATGATTGGTTCCAAAATTATCTATCAAATAGAAAACAATATGTTGATGTGAGTGGTACTTGTAGCTCCTTAATGAACATCTCATGCGGTGTACCGCAAGGGTCAGTCTTGGGACCAGTTTTATTTTCAATCTACATAAATTCAATATCAAACTTGAAATTAAGATGAAAACTTAAATTACTTGCAGATGACACGACATTGATTTATTTCTCCATAGATTCAAATAATATTATCATGGACATGAAAAGTGAATCCACTTGGTTACAAGTTCATACACTATCTCTCAATTATAACAAATCCTCATATATGTACATAGTAAAAAAAACACTGAACTCAATAAACTCATCAAATATACAGATGTTACAAAATGTTTAGGTCTTTATATTGATGAACGACTATTGTGGAATAAACATATAGATCATTTGAGAAACACACTTGATCCCATTACAGGCATTTTATTCATTATAGAAAAATAGTGAAGCAGAGAGAGAAAGAGTGGAACAGAGAGAAAAATAGTGAAAAAGATTCCATCTTTGTTGTCATTATTTATGATTTTTCGATATGTTCGAATGATTCAGATGAACTGAAGACGAAGATCTGCCCGATCGTCGCCTCGAAGCCCCGACCATGGTCGATGGTCAACTCGGACGCGAAATCGGGTGATTCGGGGCTTCTGAGCGACGGCTCCTCTCCCAACAATTCCACGGGCAACACGCCCGACTCGGCCGACGCCCTTGACAGTTCTGAGTCGTCGTCGATCGATCGACGTCTGGCGAAAGACGTCAAAGTGAAGAGGACCGGTAAGTAGATTGTTCGCATGAGAAAATATTATCATCATCATAATAATTATTATTGAAATGTGAGAATGGGCTGAGGTATGAACCTATAAATGCCCATACATGAAGTAGGTATTAGAGATCCTTAATGTACTTGATAAGATTAGATAATATTCGTCAATTAAAGATTATACAAGGTATAGCTAATACACAATGTACAAAGCTTATCAGACTAGTCAGAAGAAGACACAACTGTTTTGACGTTTTTGATTTTGTATACCTAGAGTACGGACACTCGACAAGCATTGACAGTGAGAGATAACCAAACATGATTTTGAAGAAAATCATATGTTTTGTCAGACGAAAATCAGCCAATCTCGGTAAGTATGCTACAATCTTTCAGGCGGAGGTCTTTCCAATTGAATTGTGTGCTAGAGAGTTGACGAATGGACCTCAGTAAACAAAAACATTAGTATTGTACCAGATAGTCAGGCTGCTCTTAAAACACTGAGCTCCAGCAAGATGAATTCCAAGCTTGTATGGAACTGTATTGAATCCCTAGAATGCCTGTGTGCTAAAAACAGTGTTACTTTGCTGTCTGTGCCTGAACATCAGGAGGTGGAGGGCAACGAGAAAGCCGACATCGTCGCCAAACAGGGAACCGAATCCATTGAGACAGAAAGATGACTATCGCAAAATACTCTATGATATATCGCCTTCCATAACAAATAAAAAATTTGGGAGAAATATTCGAGATGAATTGATTATATTCCGTAAATAGGAATGAAAAACTTATTCCCGTTCGCTGGTTTCTGGCCTGGTTTCCTCTTCTGTACAATTTTTTGGTCGATTTATTTCACGTCGCTTATTCGATCTAAAACATAGGTGGTATTATAACTGGAATTAAAAATATATTGAAAATTGAAATCATGAAATACTTCTTGGAATAAGAAACTGAAATATATATGAAAACTTTTTTCAAATTCCGTTGCTGAAACGCGACATATTCTTCTAATACTCAAAAAATGAACGAAACAGATAGCCAACAATTTTCTCCTAAATGTGAAACACTATATATACCTAACCCATCAGATTTCTACCCGGGTTGCAACGAGGGTTTACCGATCGATGCCAAGGGTTGATACTCTCCCCTCGTGAGGGAACCTGTCGTGTCTCCATTGAGACACAAAGGTGACTATCAAAAAATGTTCTATGATATATCGCCTTCCATAACAAATATAAAATTTGAAAGAAATATTCGAAATGGTTTGAATATATTTCGTAAATAGGAATGAAAAACTTATCACTGGTCGCTGATTTCTGGTCTTGTTTCTTCTTGTGAACAATTTTTCGGTCGATTATTTACACGTCGCATCTTCGATCTACAACATAGTTGGTATTATAACTCGAATTCAAAATATATTGCGAATTTGAATCATGAGTTAAATGGAATAAGAATCTGAAATATATGTATGTAAAAACTTTCTTCTAATTCCGTGCAAAAACGGGACATATTCTTCTAATACTCAAAAATTGAACGGAACAGATAGTCAACAATTTCCTCCCATATGAGAAACACTGTAAATACCTAACCCATTAGGTGCCTACCCCGGTTCCAACGAGGGTTTACCGATGCCAAGGGCTGATACTCTCCCCTCGTAAGGGTACCTGTAATTTATTTAACAACAATGTTGAAATATATGTATATCAATTGGAGTCCTGCCAACAACTTCCATAAGAAATATTAATTTTGAAGAAATGTTCGAAATAAATTGATTTTCAGTAAGTGATACAATGAATATGAAGAGAAACATCACGGTGAGATATAAAATAGGAATACGTAGATAAACTCACCATTATGTAGGATACAATTTCTTTTCTCACCATGAATTTCTTTTCGTGAACTGTTTTGTAGCAAAAGAATCAAATAATAATTGATATATTCATACAAGACCGAGTACAAGACAATATGTCAGGTTTTTCAAACGTTGATATTTCGGAAACTATCAAATTCAAGAGTGAAGTGTATTAAATGATTGTTAAGAATTAGGAGGTGTTGCATTTGAAAAAATATTCCAAGATGGCGCTGAGCCATCATCTCCTATTCGAGCCCTCCGAATTTCGTTGTGATATGCCAAGTGATTCGAAAATTAAACGGGGGAATGGACTTTAGACTGGCACAGTATACGGGAACTAATGTCAAAATGAATAATCACTTAATTTAGGGTTCAGATTTCCGAAATTTAAACAGAAAATAAATTGCAGAAATACATTTTGTCTACATTTTGAGTATCAGTATGATGGTCACTACATATAGTGTCGATACGAAATGTCAAATTGACATTAGGACTAATATGGAATTATTCTTAATATTTTTAAATGCTATCAGAGATTCCTCCACCAATTGAATCGACCGTACACAACGAAATGTAATATGCGACTGATGAATGACTGGTTTGATTCATCATCCTGATGACTAATTAGTAACGTCATCCTTCTAACCGATTAATTCCCGAACAATACAATTTGATCTATTACAGAAGATTATATGAAAAAATAGTCTTGCAGGGGGTGATACAAAATCCCGGAAGTTCTTCGAAAATATCTCAAGAACTTCTATATTCAGTACTCTCGTAAAATAGGGTTGCCTTAAAAAAATACCGCGCTGACGTAGTTTCTCAGACACGAATCATTCAATACAGGGTGTCGGGAAAGAGGATGAGCCAAAATTATGTCAGTACTTCATGAAAAAAAATGTCTCGCACTTCGTGACGGAGTTATATACCTCGTAAGTTGAAATAAAAAAAAATCATGTATTACTTTTAAACGGTTTCCATTGTATCATATTCAAGCAATTGAATTAACTCATATTAATGCCCAATTCGATATGTAAACGGGTGTTCAGTGATTATGTTTTGTACAGAATGGAACGAATTTTTGCCGTTTAACAAAGGCATTTTTGACAAAGGTGACAAATTTGACATTTTGCTTCCACTGTTTGATTCAATATTATTTTAATCGATATGTTGTACCGTTCTAGATAAAATCGCATTTCAAAGGTAGCCAAAGCTCAATTTATTCAATAACATCATGGTAGTTGCAGTATTTGATACTTTAGTAACACCATGTATGAGTTTAGTAATAATGCATATGTATGTAATTGCAGAAACTTTCAGGGTCAATAACGCCGTAACGAAGTGCGATCGAATTTTTTTTATTATTATTATTATACTTATTATTTTTGCTCACTTTATCAGTCCTATCATTTACGTCGTGACTTTTCCAGAAACCCTGTATTGTCCTAAATTGTTGTTCTCAAATTGTTCTTATCCATCATTCGGTTGCCCCCTTACGAGGAACCCTCAAAACTCTTCAAGAGACTTGTGCGAGCAAGGAATGACGGAGGTCTTACCATTCACCAAGCTACGCTGGCCTATATTGATTGAATTGGCACTTCATTCAATGGACGCACAAAAAACCTATGTGTAGTATATTTCTGAATTCAGCTTTCCATGGAGATTCGAAAAATTTGATAATATATACGATGTTTTATTTGAAAAAAATGTCGCGGTCGTCATTACTTAAAAATGTATCACCCTGTATATTAAATTTTCCCTCGCCTACGGCTCGTAGTTTCAAAGTACTGCTGTGAAATTCGTAGGAAAATTCAATTGGTAAAACCTGAGTTTCATGCACATTCATTATAGTAAATAGCCCAACAAATTTCAGAGCAGTAACTTTCAGTGCCATTTTGAAATATTCAGGAAAACCTGTATTTAAAATTATTCTTCATTGCCATCTCACGGCTCAACGTTGCATTTTCGTTCTGGCACACCTTGTATACCGAAGCAAAATACCAACCACGTGATGAATGCCTATATATATGTATATTATAGTACAAAAACACTTACCTTCTTGAAAGAATAGAACGTTTACACACTCAAATGAAAATACAACCACTAAGCCGAATATGAATTACAATTTTTCACTCTCAAATACTTCGAGTTCTTTTTTCATTATCACTTGAATCGACCGTACACGATAAAGTCTAGAACGAGACTGCTGATTGGTTCGATTTATCATTCAAATGACTAACTAGTTACGTCATTCTTTCAACCGATTAATTCCCGAACAAGTATGACTAATTCCGATATCGATAGTAGGTCTACGGAGTGGAGTGAAAAAAAAATTGAGAATATTTTCTTTCATTTTCTTATCTGATTCTATACGAGGTGTTTGTGAAAGGAGTTCATATATTCAGCAAATTAATAAAATATAGGCTAACAGATATTCCCATGATATCAGATTTTTGCTAATTCTTATTAACGAGAAATTCAATTTTGAAAAGTTGATAAAAATCGAAAGAAAAAACAAGTACGCAATATAAATGATTGAACTTCGCGTGAATGTGCCTTCCGCACACGTGACGTCAGAATTGCTATAGTGTCAATTATGACAATGACATCAATTACCATGATGTTATTGAATAAATAAAATTCTCATTATCTTTGAAACGTTTGGGATGTATGTTTTTGAAATGAGATTTTCTCTAGAACGATCCAAGATATCTTTTAAAATAAAGTATGCTATTTTTGTATAAAAAGATGAAGGCATCAAACTGTGGAAGCAAAATGTCAAATCTTGTATAAAACATAATGACTGAACAGCCTTCCACATATCGTAAGGAATATTAGTATAAGTTAATTCAGTTGCATGATTATCATTGATACCATGCGATAGTTCAAAAGTTATATATGTAAGAGAGTATCGTATCCAGGAGCTACGTACATATACGCCCTGTATAGTGCTTTTAGATTAATGAGTGTTGATCTATTGATGACACACGGGGTTATGTAAAAGGTGACGGGTATTTTGGGTAGAATCATGATGAAAATAGACTGGTGTAACCACTTTGTCAATTGTTTCTTTCCAAAACGTGTAGACCGCGAAACACCGTAGCAAGGCCGCACCGGATTGACTGTAGATGGCGTAGGGAACATCGTGCCACATATAGTTCACAGATATAATGAAAATTGTAGCAAGATCACTTCGGGAACAGCGCCATCTAGCGTTAGTTTTGCGCGGCCTTCCTACGGTGATAGAATTCGACATAATCAAGTAGGCCAGAGGTCTACAAAAATGTCTAGGGTTTTGTAAGAGGGAGCTATTTCACCATACATATATCCACCTTTGGTAGAATTTATCGATGTATGACTAATATTAGGTAGTTAAGAAGGAGCCGTGATACGGCTAGGTTGTATCTGATACCTATTGTGAATATAGTGGAAATCGTGGAGTACCCAGAGTGTTATTCTAATAACCGTCCACCAAGGTAACATATACCTACATGAGATATATTTTATTTATTCACACTTTCAAGGTCCATAACTCCGTAACGAAGTACGATAGACATTTTTTTATATGAAGTACTGACATTATTTTGGTTCACTCTATCAGCCCTATTATTTACGACATGACCTTTCCTTTCCCTCTCTCTTCCGCGATAAACCAGGGGGATATTCAATTCTCGCCAGGAGATGATAGATTGATATAGATCGTGGATTTGTCAATCTTTAACTCTCTTTGGCGCTAAAAATCGAATCTCACCTGCCTCATTTCAAATGAGACCACGGTTCGAACTCTATAGACAAATTGACCCTGGTCTAACCTCCCGTTGAACGTTGCCTGCATGTAAGTTTGTGTACTGTCAGTTCACGCTTTTTCCATCAAGTTATTTGTGGTTATGTCTGACTGTCAGTGCTTGTTATAGTGTCCGTACTCTAAAAAGGTATACAAAAACGTCAAGACAGTAGTGTCAAGTACATCAAGGAATTCTAGTAGGTTTATGCTACCCATAACGTAAAATAGTATAATATGTTGGCTGACATTTTGGGTCTAGGTCTAGGGCGTTTTCTGTTAGAGTAAGGAACTCACACCAACGCCTCGCTGCTCCTGCTAGACACTATAAAGGGCGCCGTACATTATGCTATTTACCAGCAAGTTCGATGCAATGCAATTTTGAATCGAACAATGCGCATGCGTCTATGATATTTCACAGCAAGTTTCATCCAAGTTTCGTAATAGAACCAGTCCTATTTTTCCTGCAATTTCAAGGCAAGTTTAGTAAAATGTTTAGTAATATTCATCGTAGCATCTTGATAAAATACAAATTTTCTCCATAACGTGGCCTGCAAAAAGTACATTGAAGGCTCAAAAAACCTGGAAATAGTGAATATGAACAAGAAAATATGACAGAAATATCTCAATGTACGGCGACTTGCAATAAATTGAGGAAATTGCGAGAAAATTGCATTGCCTATCAAACTTGCCGAGAAATAGCATAATGTACCGCGCCCTCAGCATTGTTTGAACCGGTGAGATCGAGGGCTCACATTTTTTCTGAAAGAGCACAATCAATACTGTCTGTAGGTTAATCGAGAAGGTGGTACATACATCATTCCAGATTGTTCTTGGTATTTTCTCTCCTCTCCTCTATAAAATGAAAATATGAATACTATTTCAATATGCGTGTAGTTAGGACAAATCAAATGATTTGCCCCAAAATGAAAACATCCTGTAACTCATTTGATTGCCAACTTCACTAATTGTCACTGAGAACTGAAAAGTGTCAGTATAAAAACGGATTTGCAATACAAAAAAATCCATTTTTTCTACAAACGTCAAAAAATGACAAGGTTCGCGCATTGATAACAAATTGCGAAGTGACACTTTTTTTCAGTTTCCTACGTTACCATGATTCCTTGCACAAAACAATGCGCGAAGTAAAACAGTGCGCGAAGTACCTACTTCGCGCATTGTTATGTAAAATAAATGAGATATTCATATTTCAACTTTATGGTCCTCATTCGTGCAGACATCCACAAAATCATTTATTTCTGAATTTTCAACAATTACTGTGTTTTTTCTCTTGGAGCGTACGAAAGGAAATTCCTATTATGTTCGTGGAACATCGTGCGTACCTAGGGAGGATAGGGGGAGACCTATCAAGCCAGTTCAACATTATTTTTTATATCAAGTTAAGCATATTTTTACTTTAGAACTATATTTTTTGACGTTCATAGAAAAAATTTTGTTTGCAACTCGAGCGCGAAATACTTTGGTCATCTTGACTATTTTTTTACCTCGGCTACGCCTCGTTAAAAAAATCAGATCTCGATCACCAAAGTAGCATTTCGCGCTCTAGATACAAAAATAACTATTTTATGTCGAAAACGGGAGCAGGTTCGTTCCCGAAACGTCCAAAGATAAGTAAAAATTTGATATTTTTTATTTCTCTTCTCCAAACCTTTTTTAATACAAATTGTTATCGACAAGCTAGTGAATTTTTCTTTTAGGCTCTCTGATAGGAAAATTCTTTAAACGCAGTGACATTTTGGGGCAAATCATCTGATTTGTCCTAACTACACGTATATTGAAATAGTATTCATATTTAATTTTATAGAGACGAGAGAAAAACCCAAAAAATCTGAAATAATGAAAGCACAATCAATACTCTTAAAATATCCTATTATATCATCAACAAAAAGTTTGAATGAAAATTCATATTAATAAGGTTTTCACAAATTCATGGCTATCACAATACACCAGATAACTTGTTTCATCTTCAAGCTGCTTATTGAACACTTGGACCTTTGATGATTAACACTAACAAAATGAACCATCCTTATTATGAGAGCAATGAAGCCAGAAATTCATTTCAGTAGGTGGCGGTATCTATGAACGACAAGGTAAACTACTTTTTGCTGAGTAGCGAAGGGTAGAGATCGGTAATGCGGAATATATCCGAAGGTTATTTTTTTATATTTTTATGCGAGAAGGCATCAGTGCCGGATCGAAATATTCTTATTAATTAAAAACATTCAGAATATCACAGTTGGCGATTTTCCTTCTTCAGAAAGAAGGATACTTCTAGATAGTTCATCAACTTGCAGATAGATGCACTCGAGCAGATTCCGAGTCTATAGACAAATCGACCATATTTTGCTGAGTTTTGCTAGCGCCGCCTTAGGTCGAATTTGGCTTCTAAATTTTACATAGAGATGGATCATCTTACTAGTGTAAAAATCAAGGGTGGAAGTTAGGTTTCTCAAACAGATAGCGACCTAGGCTCTAGTTGATTTTTCATTAGCACATTCTCTCATTATTCTCATTTCAAACATTTTCATTTTCGCTGTTTGAATGTGATTTGAAGTTTTGCTTATTTTTATACAGGATGATTGCAAAATTTATTTCATATTTTGGTCACACATTTGAATCTTGAATTTGTTGAAAATTGGATGCTTTATTGTGCTACGATTCTTTATCGAAACCTTTTGTGTTGTCATTCTGGTAGAGCTTATTTTGGAATGATCCTGTATATGCTTGTTTGCGTTTGTTTGCTTCTGTTTTTAATTGAGTTTTCTTTTGCAAGGCATTTTGCAGCATTATTTTCCAGATCGTGGTGATTTCAAGTTTTTGTCCCGTTACAAGGTATTTGGTTCATTTATTCATTTGTAGCTTTGGCTTATTTGTATGTTTCAGTTATAAACTTGGTTTGGTGGTTTCCATGTTTGCTTACATCATTCATTACCCAATTATTGTTAATCATATAATCAGTGAACGAAATATTTTCATGAACAATTCTCAATGTATTCTCTCAATTTTTTTTTCGTTTTTTTTTTTCAAGAAAATAATTTTAAATACTTCAAATTTGATTGTTTTGTTCTAGATAAAAATATCATTCACAAAAAATCACATAACAGAGCCAAGTTTGGAAATGAACTCACATATTTTTAGTAACCAACATAAAAAAAATTATAGGTTATACATCATATATCTTATAATACCTATATGGACCTCTTTTGATATTTCATGTTTCCCGGCATTTTTCATCAGGTGCGGAATTCTTTGATGAGGAGAGCAAAAGCTTATATTACTGTCGGGGGGGTCGTCATTTTGAACAGTTGTTGTAATACAAACTGCAGTTGCAATGTTGTAAATAACTTTTGACGAAAACCAACCATGTTTTGGAAAATTTCAATTATCTGTATCTCGAAAACATCATTTTTTGATAAACATTCCATAATAAAAGTAATTTACTTTGACAAAACCTACCACATACTTAGGGTTTGTAATGTTCTCAGCAACTTCACTTAGCGCCCTAGGAGTTAAGTAACATGCATCAATATATAGAAAATTGTGTCTCGATAACAAGCGTTGTTGAAGAAGTTTACCTTTTTTACTCAGAAAAGCTTTGGGAATAAGTTTTTCTCATAAAAAGTACCAAAAATTCACTGTCAAAAATGTTAGAGCAATTTGAAATGAACAAAAACAATCGATTTCAACACCCTGTATCTCCGAAACAAAGCATTTCCGGACACGAGTTTATAGACTTTTTTCTCAATATTCTGTCAGGAATATGTCACTTCAATATTTTAACGTACTTATGTTACACCCTGTAAATGGAGAATATTTCTGATATTGAATGTCTTGGATGATACACCAGAGCGATGAGTTTTCCGAATTATCAGCTGACCATGAGCTTCTGATGAGGCCTGGTGAGCCGAAACAGTACCATCTCGCTCTTGCTGACAATATATACAACTTCAATGATCCTGGGTCTCTTTTATATAGATATGCAGCATTTTTCGTCTTCAATATGTACCTTTGTTTCGAAAAATCTTATACTTTTATGTGAATTGTTCTCTTATTCAGCCAATTATCTTGACATAGTGTAATTTCTGCAATTTCCATTGTTATATTTTTTGATAATCTTCATTATGGTTTGCACTGCAGCAATAAAGTTCTGACATTTTTTCGGAATACTAAAACTATATTAATGTTATCATTTACTTTTATTATAAACGATGCTTTTGACTATTCGAGGCATTCTGTCGCTATGTTGGTATCCCAGGCAACCAGATGACGTTCCAGTGACGTCTTTTTTACGTCACTTGAATGACCAAGGTGACGTCAGTAGTTGACGTCGCATGACGTGAATAAGTCACAGCCCAATGACGTTATATTACTCACGTCGTATTGACGTCATTCACTCACCAAACTGTGACGTCCGTCTGACGTCATAATGACGATTAAATTTGGCGATGATACGTGAAAAAGATTCCTTCAACATGGTGTGATAAACACCACTGGCCTCTGATGACATTATATAATATTGATTATGCATTGTTGAGTCTGCTTGGTGGGTCCCTCCTGTGTCATGTTCATTCAATCGCCTATTCAGCAAGGCTATCCTTCAGTACGCATCTCCATCAGAATGCAATAAGTTACCTACTCGTATTTGTATAAAAAATTACGTAGTTTGTGTCGGCGAGATGTAAGCAAACAAAGAATAGTTTGATAGCAATGGAAAGGTTGTTGGCGAATTCGGCTTCAATTTGTTGAATAATATATATATTGATGCATTCTTTGTCACCCAACAAAAATCTAAATAGCTAATTATTGAAAAAAAATCTGAATTACGAAGATCACAAATTTGTGCGCCACACCGACATGATTTTTATATAGACGTCATAGATACGCCACGGCAACGTCATGAGTGTAAAGGTTTCAATATAGGTATACCTTAACAATCATTTGTATATATACATAGCTTGTTATTGGTTTCCGAGATATACAGTGTGTCAGTTTTTTAGAAAATAGATTTCTCCTACTTTTCGGGTATACTAATAATTCCAATAAAACTTGCATGTTGATTTGCTTTCATGAGTTATACTTTTGTTTCACATGATGATATACAAGTAACCATGGTTTAGAGAAGGTCTGGGAAAAATAGACGTCGACAGGACGTTCCTGCAACGTCATGAAACTGACGTCTTCTTTTCATCCATTTAAGTGACGTTCACTCGACGTCGAGACTTTTTACGTGATTATCACGTCATAGAAAGTACGTCATGAATTGGTGTGTGACGTCAATGACGAAAAATCACCAATTAGGGACGTCACAGTGACGTGATCATCGTCATCTGGTAGCAGGGATTCTTTTGTGAGAATTCAAAGTTGAGTGAAATAGCCATTTTGAAATGCCCAAAGTAACATTAGAACGATTATCTCTGTTTCATTAGGTGTTGTTTTTTAGGGGACTAATAAACAGGGGAACACTATGAACAACGTTGAGAGAAGGGACAGCAATTATAATTGTAGGGAAACTGAGGATGCACACATTAGTAGATGATAATACTCAGTTAAGGAAAACAGGTACTTTTTCTAGGAATGATCTCATTAGATTGAGTATCTTATTCTTGTTGTATTTTTGTTACCTTGGCTTTCAAAGTAGGCATCTATTTTCAAACAAAAAAGTAAGATTTTTTAATTAGTAAGTATTGAACATTCTGGTCTGCCACATTTTTATATAGGAACAAAATTATTTTTTAGAATCACATATATTAACAAAATTCGACTCTATTATACTACTGAGATTTATGCACACCTTAAATTCGAGTTGACACAGATGTTAGATTGTAAGCTTCTTCATAGGTGGTGAATATTTTCTATTATCAAATGGAATTTACAATAATAATTAATGGTGCCAGTCATTTCTTTGGATGATCCAGATTTTTATACATTGATTTTGAGAGGTGATATAGTAACTCTCAAAATGAGGTGTCAAAACTTAAATGGATAGTTTGAAAAAAAATTCATGTCACGTCTTGGAAAATTCAATAGTAGTTTACCTAACATGTGGGGAAATAGTAATTTATGTAACAAGTCCAGAAAATACTGTTTTTTTGGACGAGTAGACAAAATTCTAGGTCGAGTTGTAGTATATACACTGTTCTATACCTCTCAAATTCGTTGTTTGAAAATCAGGATCACCCTGTGTATTGATTTACTTTCAAACTAAAAGATTATCCTAAATGATTGCAGACTCTTTCTATTCAGGTCTACTGCTATAGCTATTCACCTTTAAGTTAGGTGTGATTTGTGAATAAAATGAATAATTCAATGTTTGAAGTTCTTCAACAATTGAAAGTTGAAAATTCTATCTTTTTTTGTATGGAACAGTCAGATTGTGATTCGAATTTTTCAGATTTCCTTCTGAAATCCACATATTTCCAGACTTCCAGGATATATTGATATACATATTTAAATTCTTCCAATATTTTCTAATCACAAGTAGTTTCATTCCAATTTTGCCATATTATTTATTATTATATGGATTTAGAATATTACAGTTATAAATAGTATTAGTTATGACAAAAAATGAAGTCTAGGAAAAACTTAAATGTAAGATTTTTTGTGATAATTTGATTTTAATGTGTTTCATTCCCCAACTTAATGATTCCTACAGTCATGGAAGAAGAAAAAATGTAAATAACTATTATTTTTTTAATGTCAATTTTGTAATGGTATATTTGAACAAAAATTTTATTTTTCCCTATTTGTGTTTATTGTATTGTATTATACAACTTTTTTACACCTATATCAAAATGCTTCCATTTTGTGTAATCTTATTTATACTTTGAATGAAAGTATTCATTATTTTCAACAGTGGTTTTATTTTAACAAATAGGAATGACAAAAAATGTGTGTGTACCTCAATTTGGTTCAATGTACTGTGTACAATCAGTACAATATTTGAGAATATCATCTTATAAAACTCCTCCTAACTACACTTTGTGTACATTTGATGAAATACAACAGAGTTGGAGAAGAGAATTATGATCAAAATGTTTCTTGTTGGTGAACATATATATACAGATATGGAAAATATAATATTCATGGAAATTAAATAAATAAAACTAATATACTGTAAGGTACAACAGTATTTGGTCTTGGCACTGTTCTAGTTTAAAATTTATCAATTTCATGATATAAACCAGAGTATATTATTATCCAGGTGACCTGAAATTGATTTGATGATTAAATTTCACTGCTAAATCAAGGTGAGAACATACCTACCAAGAATCCAGCAAAAGAAGTCATAAAACCCTCCTTTGTCAGCTCCCAGACACCACCAAATTCATCCTCATCTATATTTTGAAAACTAGTGAAGTAAATGTATAGTAATCCAGCATTTATCAAAACAAATCTGAAAACATGAATTTCTTGCAATAGGACCTATTTTGTTTAAAAAACATCTCAATGAAAGCATATTTGGATATTGGTTTACTTACAATAGCAGTCCTATAAAACCCTTTAATGGTACCAGTCCCCAAAAAATTCCCAGTATAATACCTAGAGCTTGTCGTGCCCAATAAATAACATCTAAGAATTCTTCCTGAAATCGATTATTGAGAATTTCCTGAAAATAGTTTCCGGAAATACTAACCTTATCTGGCCATTCGGAATTTGATTTGAATGCCCTAGACCAAACTGACGGTAAAGATAATTTTGATGTACCATTTTTCTCAATTTGTTTAGTCTTTGTACTCATGATATCAATATATTTATATAAAAAAATATGATTATGATGTGGAGAGAAATCTGAAAATCATGAACAATTTGGTTATGGTTATATCACTTCTTCTTCTTCTTATCTTCTTCTTCTGTTTTTCAGCTAAACCTTTCAGTCTTGTCACTAATAACTACAGACAGGAGGGAAATAATAGTCATCGCGGTGGGGAAACGCAACAGCGCGAGACCGCGGGTACTGAAGTTGTTTACGTTGAATTCATTGCTGAATACTGATCACCCATTGACATAAATAGGCCTATGTGATCATCTTAACATCCTAACTGAGATGTTAATGAGATGACAACAAATATATTTTTCTACAAGCGTGCGTGATTCACCCTATACCCGCACGCAATTTAGTTTGGGAAGTGTCATTTTCCCGCAACAGTGCGGGAAAACAAAGATATAATAAAATCGCTAGTAATATAAATGGTTGGTTATGGAATATAAAAGTTTAAGTTTGTTTGTTGCAGTATTAAGTATGTATGTTCAGAATCATCCATCAAATTACACTATTTATTGTAAAAATTAAGAAATATTGAGAAATAGAAATTGATTATTATAAAAATCCCCCTATAGATTTGGATTGATCTGACGGGAAACGTCAATTTGTCATGCCAATCAAACCTCAAATAAGTTTGAAATTGTCGAAGTGACAGACACAGCGTTACTGTCATTTTCGATTCAGTGGAAATGCCACAATATGTGATCAAAAACTTCTAGCTATAGGGATTTGATACAGATGCGTTATCACCAACGAAGTCTTAAGAAAGGTATGAGAAGCTATACACGCGTTTTATTGAATGGTGCAACAATAAAGAAATGAAAAAACCGAATGAAGAATAGGTATTTTTGGCTCATTTCATAGAAGTGTCTGGAACCTAGAGACCAAACTCCTAATGGGCCTGCTGGCTTCCGCAATAAACCAACATATTGCGTCAAACTGTAAGTTCACAATAGCTATTACTAATAATTAATAGATAGAGAATATATATCTCTTGTTAGTTGTTCTTATATTTGCTTGAATAATTAATTGAACGATTCAATCAATTTCCTACGCTTGTAGAAAAAATATTGTTCCTAACTCATGCGGAAAGTTTCTTTCCCGCACTCGACTGCTTGCCCGAACTCCGCTTCGCGTCGTTCGTGTCAACGGCAGTCACGTGCGGGAAAGAATCACTTTCCGCACTTGTTAGGAAAATTACTATTAAATCAAATCTACGGAAAATTTCCGGCCGAAAAAAAAACATTGAAATAGTGAATCACAATTATTGCCTCAATAGTAAATTCCTCCACAGTATTTTTATCGATTGATCACTTCGAAAAAAAGAAAAGATTAGTTGAGTACGTTATCGAAGCCCGGTCTTTCCGTTCGGAGGAAGGAACGCTACTCGAATGACCACCACGCTTTTGGAAAATTAAACTACAAATTGTTATTTATAAAGTATTTAATAAACTACAAATAGTTATTTGAGAACCATGGTAGTGAAAAATATCATTAATTACCCAGGGGCAAGATATAAGGTCAGTGATGAAGTTTACCTGTAATCGTCCTAATTAATATTCGGCTCTGAAGAACAAATTACTTATTTTCTTTATTTTTTAATAATTGTCTGTCTGACAGTCTTATTTATTATTATATTTTTTTTTATACAGTCACTTGATGTAGTCAGATTTTTCAAAATATACAGTATGTACAAATCAATTATTAATTATTTGAAACTAAATACAACATTCTCCCCCCAGTAATTGTATCCGCCAAATAACAATTACTTCTTCACGTCTAAAACTATCAATCTTGAAACGTGTCGTCGAAATAAGGTTCCATGCCCATTCTTGACATCAACGATTCGAATTTTTCCATCAGCTGCGGGATAGAGGTTGACTACGATTCCTTTTGGCCATACATTCCTTGGACTATTTGGTTCTGCCATGATCACGACGTCTCCAACTTCAATATTTCTTCTTTCTTGAAACCATTTTGTTCTTCTTATCAAAGTAGGCACATATTCTTTGCTCCACCTCTTCCAAAATGTGTCTGATAACTTTTGTGCAGCTCGCCAACTTGACATTAGATTCAGGTCTTTTTCGATCGTTTTGGTACAAGGTAGTGCCGCATAATTTGGTCCAATTAGGAAGTGATTTGGGGTCAAACTTTCGGAGTCTTCTGAGTCTAGTGACACATGAGTCAAAGGCCTGGTATTAAGAATATTCTCACATTCCGTCAGGAAAGTTCTCAGGATATGTTCAGGTGGGTATCTTGATTTCAAAATTTCTTTCAGGATCTTCTTGACACTTTGTATGAGCCGTTCCCAGCTCCCACCCATATGGGGCGCTAGTGGAGCATTGTAAAAATATTTAATATTTTTCATTGCACAAAATTTCATTATATCATCCTGATTTAATTCTTTCAAATTCTCAGCAAGTTCTTTTTCCGAACCTCTGAGATTAGAACCATTATCACAGTATATTTCTTCGGGAAATCCTCTCCTACAACCAAATTGACGAAGAACATTGATGAAGGAGTTTGTGCTCATATCATGGGCAATCTCAAGATGCACGGCACGAGTTGCCATACATGTGAAAATCACTCCATACCTCTTTTCTCGACTTCTTTTGACCGTTACTTCTAAGGGTCCAAAATAGTCGATTCCGGTCTTGATAAAAGGGCGGATAGTTGGTTCAATTCGACACTGTGGCAACTGTCCCATCATCGGTATTATTGGCACACTTCTCTTTATCTTGCAATGTAGACAATTCCTCCATACGCTTTTCACAGCTTGTCTCATTCTGAGTATCCAAAATTTTTTCCGTAGGTTATTGATAACAATTTCCTGTCCGTAGTGATGAACAGCCTCGTGATAGTTTATGATAATCAGTTTAGTAATTTTATGAGTCGGGTCTAAAATAATGGGTCTCTTCATTTCCATGTCCAATGAAGACTTGTCCAATCTTCCACTAAGCTTGATGAGTCCATCTTCCTCAGAATAAATGCACGTCAGCATGTAAATCCTGCTTTTTGGATTCAATGATCCTTTATTTCTCAAAATATGTACTTCCTGTGGAAACGAGTCTTCTTGAATTTCCCGATAGATTAAATTTTCTGCTTCATGCAGCTCATCTACGGAGAGTTCTTTCTGATTTTTCACTTTGCTTTTCATTATTTTGATAAATCTCAATACATACGCCGTGGATCGTAGTAATCTTTGCCATTTTGAAAATCTTTCTGCATCAGGTAATATCATAATTTTCTTACTGGAATTTAGAAAAACAAATTCTGTTTGTCTCATTTCCAGTGTATCTGAATCAATTTCTGGTAAGTCCTTATTCTCCTTCGGCCATTTTTCTGGTCCAGAAGATAAAAAACCTGGACCATTAAACCATTTATTTTTATCCCATGAAGATGGCCTCTTCGTTGCTTCGTCAGCTGGATTTTCTTTAGAATATACATACTTCCATTCGGACACGTTGGTGATGTCTTGTATTTCTCCCAATCTTTGGGCAACGAACACTTGGAATCTTCTAGCTTCTGAGTTTATCCACTGAAGAACAGTCCTTGAATCACTCCAATAGAATATCTTGGAAAATGTCAAGTTCAAACTGGTTTTCAGAGAGTTTCCCAAGCGAGCACCCAATAGAGCAGCTTGTAATTCCAGTCGTGGAATTGACAAGGGTTTCAGAGGAGCAACTCTTGCCTTAGCTGTCACAAAACAGGTTTTGACTTCCTGTTTATGTTCCACTCGAAGATATACAACGGTGGCATAACATGTTTCTGAAGCATCACAAAATACATGCAATTGGATATCACTCTCTTGGCGATTCATGGTGAAATACTGCCTGGGAATTTCAATTTTATAGATATTTTTCAAGTCAAAAAGCCATAACTTCCATTTTTCTTCCAAATTGTCAGATATTTCGTCATCCCAGCCAATTTGACTCCTCCATATATCTTGTAAGAGTACTTTACCTTGTATAATGAAATAAGTCAAGAAACCTAAGGGATCAAAAATGGACATAACTATTTTTAGAATTTCTCGCTTGGTCGGTCTTCTTCGATTTTCTAATAGATCTTTTTCAATTTTGTGGAATTTGGTTTTGAAGACAAAAATATCTCTTTGGTGATTCCAAAATACACCCAATATTCTTTCGGTTGACATTTCATCATTATTATTTTCAATATTTTTACAACACTCAGCTAATAAGTGTTCATCAATGTCTTCTAGAATTCCTGTTTTATTAGCGATCCAATTGCATATGACAAACCCTCCCTGACTATGAAGAAAAATTACCTCTTTTATGAGTTTTTTGGCTTCCTCTTCAGTGTCTGCATTACCCAAGTAATCGTCCATGTAGTGGTTCTTTATGATCTCGTCGCTTGCCTCGGGGAATTCTTCTGCGAAATCGCGTGCGTTCCTGTTTTTTGCTTCCTGAGCTAAGCAAGGACTACAGGTTGCTCCAAAAAATACTACAGAGAGTTCATAAATGTCTGGTTCCACATTTCTTTCCATACCACGCCATAATAATCGCTGAGCACAGCAATCTTCTTTCCGTACTCTGATCTGTAAGAACATTTCTTTGATGTCGGCTGTGAATGCATATCGTTTAATTCTGAAATTTAATAGTATTGTTTGGAGAGAATTATAAAGATCAGGACCAGTTAATAAATAGTCGTTTAAACTGACTCCATTACTTTTAGCAGCGGCATCAAAAACAATTCGTAGTTTTGGCTTATTAGGGTTTTGTACCCCAAAATGTGGCAAATACCAGGATTTATCTGAATTTATTACCTCTTCTGCAGCGAGTTTCCTGATATATCCTTTTTGTTCTAGATCCAGAAATTTCTTACAATACATGTCACTATAGTCTTTGTTTCTATCCATTTTCCTCTCAGTACATTGAAGTCTCTTTAGGGCATTTGATTTACTCTCGGGAAGTACCGGATGATTATTCTTCCAGAGTAGACCGGTTTCGAATCTCTCGCCAACCCTCTTCATTGTCGTGTCCAAAATGTCTTGAGCTCTTTTATCTTCAATAGACATTACCTTATCTGTCGTTGAATGAATGGATTCCATTTTCCATTGTTCCTTAACCAAATCATGAAGAAGGTCTAAGTCATCTTTAATTTTCATGTTAATGTGTCGGATATTACAAACAAATTGCGGAGTGTACTCACTTTCTTCAATATTTCCATGTAGTACCCATCCCAATAGTGTCTTACTCATTGCAGGTCCATTCCATGGTCCAGTTATCAATTTCCTATTCACCAGGAGAGGCCAGTTGTCTTGTCCTATTATTATCTTTGGCTGGACATCCTTCATAGATGCTATCTTATCACAGATGTAAGGATAACGACTCCTTATCTTATCTACATCTATTGTTTGCGAGGGCAAAGATAATTGTGTAGTTCTAACGTGCCGTAACTGAAAACTAGGACCATTATTTATTCCTTTGATTGTGAAACTAACTATTCTTGAATCGTTTTGATGATGCACCACGTCTTCATTCGTCCACTGGAGACATAATGATTCAGAAGGACCAGACAATCCTAAGGAATCTGCGAATTCTTGGTCAATCAAACTGATTGTAGATGCATCGTCCAACAATACATAGGTTTCAACTGTTTCATTACAATAACTGATTATAACTGGCAATATTTTTAGTAAAACACTCGAATATCCAGAAATACGACAATTTGTTTCAACGACAGCAGGCGATTGTTCAATATCATTGGTAGAAGTAACATTGTTCGAATGTTCAGTTTTGTGTAAAAGGGTATGATGTGGTCTTCTACAATCTTGAATTCCACATATCTTTCTTTTTCTACATTGCTTTACATTATGAAATGGCATCAAACACGAGAAACACATTTTTGTCTTTGTCATAAATGTCCATCTTTCATCTGGGGTCATTTCTAAGAATCTAGAACAAGAACTCAGATGATGAATCTCCCTGTTGCAGCAGAAACAATTTTTTCTGGTACTCAAAGTAGTTGTCATAGTTACGTCTCTATTTTTATATTTTACTTTCTGGTTGTCAATTCTGATGTCATCTATTTTGGGAATTTGAATTTGTGACATGAGATTAGCTTTTTCGTCAAGCCAATTTGTGAATTCAACCAACTTCAGGTTTGGCTTTGGCATTTTCGACAAATGTTCTGCCCAAGAGAGCTTGTAACATGTTGGTAATTTATTTAATACCTCATTCAGAAGAATGGGATTCTGCAAATGATCTGTTTCCTGAAGTGATTCAATTGTGGCAACAAAATTTTTGATTTCATCAGAAAATTCTATGAAAATATCCAATTTGTCTTCCCTAATTGATGGAAACCTCTTGATTTTTTCTAATAACATAGAAATTATGTACTCCGAACGTCCGAATCGAGCATGAAGTAAGTCTATTATCTTTTGTACATTTTGTGGCATTATCAGTAGAGATTGTACAATTTTTCTAGCATTTCCTTTAAGGCATTTTTGTAATCTGAACTGATTTTCGGCATCTGAATATCCGCAAATAGCACTTGAATTATTATACTGATATATAAAATTAGGCCATTCAAGTGGGTTTCCATCAAATGTAGGTAAATCTTTGGGCAAAGATTGCCTTGTCAAGATTTTTGTTATTTGAGGGATAGTCATTTCACCTGAATTATTGTCATTATTGAAAATAGAAGATTTCTCTGGCTTATTATTGACAACAATATCTCTTACCGTTTCGTGTTCTTTAACTGAATTTAACTGTCTGACCTCGCATGCTTTTGTGTCCTGCCTGAAATCCCATGGAGAGTTACCGTCGATCCAATTTTCCATGTTAGGCTGCCTTGACTCATGCATCCACTCAGACCCACTGCTTTCGCTTCCTTCTTCTATTTCCGCCAATTTTAGAGCCAATTCTAAATCCAACATTTCTTTTTCCTTCTTCAATTCCTCTTGTTCTAGCTGCTTCTTCTTGATAGCAGTCTCTATCTCTGCTCTTCTCACTCTTGAAGCTTGACTACTTTTCGACGTTTTCTGACTTTTTCTCGAGTTAATAGAATATGTTGGGTTTTCAACTGCTCGACTGTCTATTTTGCTCTCTGACATGACATCAAGAGCATTCTTTTCTTGCAGGCGTTTGCTGCGTCTCAAATTTTCAGATCTAGCTCTCAATTCCATGATTACTTCTCCAAAGTGCCTGTTCTCTTAAATAACTCGAAGGACCATTGATGAAGTTTACCTGTAATCGTCCTAATTAATATCCGGCTCTGAAGAACCATTGATGAAGTTTACCTGTAATCGTCCTAATTAATATTCGGCTCTGAAGAACAAATTACTTATTTTCTTTATTTTTTAATAATTGTCTGTCTGACAGTCTTATTTATTATTATATTTTTTTTTTATACAGTCACTTGATGTAGTCAGATTTTTCAAAATATACAGTATGTACAAATCAATTATTAATTATTTGAAACTAAATACAACAGTCAGTTTTGGTGTTTTTAACGCCGATCTTTGATTCTTCGAAGATTTCGAAGTATGGTACGTATGACTCCCCTGTCCAGGTGTATCTGGATCTGAATCCTGGCGATGTCCGAGTCAAACGAGCGCGCGTATATCGCTGTATCAGCGAACAAGGCTGAAGAATCTCAACATATCACGTGATGGGAATGGTTCGAAAGATTCACACACTTTTCAACGCAGCACTCGTTTGCTCGAACACAGGGAAGTCATACGTATAAATAAACCGAGAATTAATTCGACAGACACGACCCCTGCGGAACACCCGCCTCCAGTGGAAAATCCCTAACTTTATATTGATAATTCCACTTGAAAGGTACGAGTCCACAATCTTCATGGTATACATAAGTACTCGGGCCTTAGATATAGATATCTTGGTTATTAGTTCCTCGTGCCAAACGGCGCCGAAAGTCTTCGATCTCGACACCTATCATGACCATAACAGTATTTTTGTATTGATTAAAGGCCCTTTTCACCCCGTAAACAATTTAAATTAGCACTCAAACATACAATAGCTGATTGCTCTACTTAGATTTCATCCAGAGAAGATCCGTTCACCTGGTTGGTGATGCCACACTTACTGACTCTTGACATCATTGGAACACCGTAGAAAGGTCGGCGACCTCTCACTTTTCTACAGATACTTCCACGGAACTCGTTTATTGTCTATAGAACGGTGAAGCTCTGGAATTCATTGCCGAAGGAATAAGTATTCCCAAGAACTTATAATCTCCAATAGTAAAAACAAAACCCAATACCTACCTCTTCTGCCAATCCTCCCTAGGTACGCACGATATGTTCTTCGTATAATATAGGGATTCCCTTTCGTGCACTCCAAGCGATAAAAAAAATGATATTTGATCATCGAGTATATAAGATAAGTGAAACATGGTACAACTATGCTGCGATCATTCACTCGCTTTTATATTGTCAAGCAGAGTAGGCCAAATACCTATGGAATAACACCATACTCAAACTCTCGTTCATTAACTTTTCCAAAACATCCAATACAGCGTAGTTTCGTTCCGGTTAGCAGAGTTTATAGACTTTAGTTCCTGTAATATTTGCAAAACGCTTACCGTGCGAAACTAACTAGGTAAGCAATACCGCCAGGTAACTGCAATTCCCATTGCAGAAAATTGCAATGGGAATTGGCAATCATCGATTTCAAATATAAATATTACCCCAGTCATTCATTGATTCATTTGTCGAATCAATAACTCGAATTCATTCATTCACATTCGATAACTCCTTCATTACATACCAGACTTCATAATTGGTACTATATTTTCCAATTTATATATCTAGTTGATATACTATATAGAGACAAGCTTGGATATATTTTTACTCAGAACTTGAGGAAAATCTAATTTGTCATGGTTGAAACTTCATTGATTTTTGTACTGTTTTTAGTTTTGTGAAATACTATTTCTTCTATTGCTTCCCTCCTAAGGTATGTGAGTCAATATGTATGCAGCCATTCATTTCCTCTTGTTTCAACCTATTTTCTGTTAGAAAAGCAAGGTAAAAAAATTCATTCATCTAGTTCCGCTCACATCATCAGTTAAGAAATTCATTGATTTTTTTATGAAAATTCATGTTGCTACAGCTACTTTCTTCAAAGAACGTCATTTTGGTCATGAATCAAATTTTTCATTGTTATCATCAACTTTATTTGATCAAATATAATACCTCTTTTATAGAATCTTTGTCTAGAAACATTCAAATTGATAAAACACAATTTAATAATTTAACAATTGTACTCAAAAATACAATAAAGCTATACCATGTAGATTTACATATAAATATATATATATCACGAATACTTAGCATCGCCCGACTCTAAAATCACAAACTAAGGAAAAATGGTCAGAGGGATATGAAAAAGACGGCACTCGATGTTCACCTATCTCTTCCTCCGAAGGCATTTCCAACACAGCCTCGATTTCAAGGTTATCCTTAGTGTAGAAGATATAGTCTATGGTGTGGCACACCTCTCCCTCGCCCCTTATCTTCCAGGTAGTATAAGCTGGCTCTCTGCACGCGGAAGTGAGGTTAGCGTCAGTATCAGTAGTATCACAATCAGCGTAGGCGCTACCGAGTCCTAGGGAACTGGCCAATAAGGTGCCGTAGATGGGCTCCGTGGGTTCTGCGTTGAAGTCCCCGCAAAGGATGAGGGGGCGATTGTCGCAATGCCTTTCGATGAAATGCATGAGGTCTTTGCCCTGCTCGTTGCGGAGCGTCGACAGGAGGGGCCCTTTGCGGGCCTTCAGGTGTGTTGTCGTCACGCAGATTTCTTGGCCCGTTTCCTTTATTTTGAGGATCATCAGCAGAGCCACCTGCAAATAAGGGACTACGGTGATTTCTCGGCTGCCATCACTGAAATTAGCTCGAAGTTCAGTTTTTTAAGATGCAGTTTTTCACACTATTGCGGAAATATAGTATACACAAGGGCGTCGCCAGCGGAAAAAATAGGGAGGGGGGGGGGCACCATAAAAAAACTGAAGAGAAAAATCAAATAAAAAGAGTTTAATGAGAAAATCAAAAAACAGAAAAAAATCTATACAGTAAATCAGTTGAAAAATAATCTTCTACGGTTCTTTGGGAATTCGTTGGTCACTTTTTGACGAAAACGTTCAAGTTTTTGAAAATATGTTGCCTGTGTATACTCATCATTGCGAGGCCATTGAGTCGAGCATCATACATGGTGCTCCTCAACCAGGTTTTGATTCTCCTAAGGCTACTAAATTACCTTTCAACTGTACAAATCTTACAAGGTAAAGGCAACAAGGATCTTCAGAGCCTTCTCAACTTCAGGAGAAAAATATACTTTCGGAAGTTCTTTGCTCAAAGTGAGCGTTATCATAAGTAATATCACGATATTCTTAATATTCGAGATAATTCTGTCGCCCCATTGTTCACGAAATTGTGTTGCTGAGCAACACCACGAGTCAGGACGAAAGGTAGGGCTGTACGGCAACAGAATAGATTTGACAAGGAAATGAAGAATTATGAGAATATATTCAGAACGGAGTGAAGACTATTTCACGTTCACGAAGCAAAGAAGCATTTATTTTGAATGAATGATTCATTCTGACAAGTACAGTCATTATTTTTTGCCAAATTGACAGACTTCGCTTCGCTACCCACGTTTTCTCTGGCTTATTGTGATTGATCAGATTATGTGATGAATGAAATAGTCGTTTCAATGATAGCAGGGTGACTGGTGAGCGTTAATCGTAGGGGGGGCAGCTGCCCCACCCTGCCCCTCTCTGGCGACGCCCTTGAGTATACATAGTGCTTTTCTTCAATGTCCCCTCTTTTTTTATTTTTGAACGGGTCAAGTGGGAAAAATTTAAACTTGAATAGTGAAATTGATGCATGAATACTATATTTTGGAGTTAAATTGACAGATGGCCACAGGGCGCCATCTGGGAAATGAAGTTAAATGGAAAGGGAATAAAGCTTCAAACACATCCTTTTGAAGCTCCTGATGAATACTTCACTACCCTAGAATATAAAGCATACTACAAAATGGCGGAACACTCAATGATTGCCTGAATATAAACATATTGATATTTTATTTGTATTTCAACAAGATGGAGCATCACCACATCACTGCAGACAAGTTAGAAACTAGTTGGATAATACCAGAGCTTTCTCGCCAGATTTAACACCTTCAACATTTTTTTATGGGGCTATTTGAAGCAGAAGGTGTGCGGAACTGAACCTGCTCCAATATTGGATTAACGACAGGGAATGATAAATGTTTGTTAAACATTGTTAAACATTGTTAAATGTGTGAAATATCGACGTAACTGTGTTCGAAAGTGTCCGGCGTGAATTATATGATAAGCTGTTCTTATGTCAAGAAATTCCAGGCAATTATTTCGAGCATCTTCTGAACTAAACTCAATTTATTTCCTCAAATCATGAAGTTAACCTTCAATGATTCAGGCATTATTGAATGTTCCGCCATTTTGTAATAGCTGAAGATATTGGCTTCATATTCTAAGGTCGTGGAGTATTCGTCAGGAGCTTGGAATGTATGTGTCACAAGACCCCCTTGCCATTTATATTTTTTCCAGATGGCGCCAGTCACCATCTTGAAAATGTTATTAGTCAATGTCAGTCCAGAATATAGTATTCATGCATCAATTTCATTATGCCAAGCCCCAAGTTTTTCAGTTGCCCCGTTAAAAAAATAAAAAGGGGGGGGGGATCAAAGAAAACCACTGTATATTATTCATGAACCGCTCAGCAAATTTGTTGAATATACCAATTAGCCAACATTTCATAAGTTCATCATGAGAAGTCCCAAAGATGCGTTCGGAATTCTCCAAGAAGGACACAGCTAATTTCTATAATGTTCCATTAGACTACCTTGGAGTTAATGATTCTGAATCAGATCCATTTAATATTATTCGTGATCCCCATAGCAAATTTGTTTATTACACCGATCCGCCAAAACAGTTGAAAACCTTCGCCATTATTTCAACTTCTGTAAGTACTTATTACAAGGCTCAGATTTGCTACTAATTCCTTAAAGAGTACAGAGTTGATTTCTATTGAACTTTCATAGGGCTACCTTGAAGAAAATAATGTTGATTCAGAACCAATAATTTCATATCATTCTTGAGCATCTTAACAAATTTGGTAATTACACCGATGAGCCGGTGTGAGACCTTCGCGATATGTTGCAGTTTTGTGTTACAAGGCTCAAAGATTTGTTCAGAATAATGTAAAAAGTACAAATCCAATTTTTTATTTTATTATTGATCTCCTTTACAAATTTGGTGAATACACACCGATCCGCCAAAACAGGACGGATTACTTAAAAATGAAGAGCCGATTTCTTTCGAACCTTCATGGGACTGACTACCTTGAAGATACTAATGTATAGATTGAGAACTATTTTTTATTATTCTCTATCGCCTTAAATTTGGTGGCTAAAACGGTTAGATACTTTGCCATTCGTTCAATTTCTGTGTAAGACTCAATGGTTCTGAATTTTGTAAAAAGAACAGAGCCTATTTTGATCAATCTTTCATGGGACCACCTTGAAGTTGATAATCCTGATTCAGAACCATTTCATATTAACCTTGATCCTCTTAACACATTTGGTGAATACACCGATTCGCCAAAACTGTTAAATATCTTCTACTTTTTTTATAGAAGTTCTGTTATGAAGGACTCAGATTTGTTATGAATTTCTCAAAGAAAGAACCCTCATAGAACTAACTACTTTGGAGATACTTATGTGGATTCAGAAACATATTTTTATAATTTTCTCAATCGCCTTAGATTTGGTGAATACACCGATTCGCCAATAGTTAAAGATCCTTCGCCATTTGTGAAATTGTTGTGTTAGAAGGCTCAAAGATTTGTTCCGAATTCTGTAAAAAGAACAGAGCCTTTCATGGTACTACCTTGAAATCGATAATCCTGATTCAGAACCATTTCATATTAACCTTGATCCTCTTAACAAATTTGGTGAATACACCGATTCGCCAAAACTTAAATATACTCTACTTTTTTTATAGAAGTTCTGTTATGAAGGACTCAGATTTGTTATGAATTTCTCAAAGAAAGAACCCTCATAGACCTTGGAGATACTCATGTGGATTCAGAAACATATTTTTATAATTTTCTCAATCGCCTTAAATTTGGTGAATACACCGATTCGCCAATGGTTAAAGATCCTTCGCCATTTGTGAAATTTTTGTGTTAGAAGGCTCAAAGATTTGTTTCGAATTCTGTAAAAAGAACAGAGCCTTTCATGGTACTACCTTGAAATCAATAATCCTGATTCAGAACCATTCCATATTAACCTTGATCCTCTCAACAAATTTGGTGAATACACCGATTCGCCAAAACTGTTGAATATCTTCTACTTCTTTTATAGAAGTTCTGTTATGAAGGACTCAGATTTGTTACGAATTTCTCAAAGAAAGAACCCTGGAGATACTTAACTCAATCGCCTTAAAATTGGTGAATACACCGATTCGCCAATAGTTAAAGATCCTTCGCCATTTGTGAAATTTTGTGTTAGAAGTCTCAAAGATTTGTTCCGAAATCTGTAAAAAGAACGGAGCATTTTATGCTACTACCTTGTAATCAATAATCCTGATTCAGAACCATTTCATATTAACCTTGATCCTCTCAACAAATTTGGTGAATACACCGATTCGCCAAAACTGTTAAATATCTTCTACTTTTTTATAGAAGTTCTGTTATGAAGGACTCAGATTTGTTATGAATTTCTCAAAGAAAGACCCTCATAGAACTACCTTGGAGATACTTATGTGGATTCAGAAACATATTTTTATAATTTTCTCAATCGCCTTAAATTTGGTGAATACACCGATTCGCCAATAGTTAAAGATCCTTCGCCATTTGTGAAATTTTTGTGTTAGAAGGCTCAAAGATTTGTTCCGAATTCTGTAAAAATAACGGAGCCTTTCATGGTACTACCTTGAAATCGATAATCCTGATTCAGAACCATTTCATATTAACCTTGATCCTCTCAACAAATTTGGTGAATACACCGATTCGCCAAAACTGTTAAATATCTTCTACTTTTTTATAGAAGTTCTGTTATGAAGGACTCAGATTTGTTATGAATTTCTCAAAGGAAGAACCCTCATAGAACTACCTTAGAGATAATCATGTGGATTCGTTAAAGATCCTTCGCCATTTGTGAAATTTTTGTGTTAGAAGGCTCAAAGATTTGTTCTGAATTCTGTAAAAAGAACGGAGCCTTTCATGCTACTACCTTGAAATCAATAATCCTGATTCAGAACCATTTCATATTAACCTTGATCCTCTCAACAAATTTGGTGAATACACCGATTCGCCAAAACTGTTAAATGTCTTCTCCTTTTTTTATAGAAGTTCTGTTATGAAGGACTCAGATTTGTTATGAATTTCTCGAAGGAAGAACCCTCATAGAACTTGGAGATACTCATGTGGATTCAGAAACATATTTTTATAATTTTCTCAATAGCCTTAAATTTGGTGAATACACCGATTCGCCAATAGTTAAAGATCCTTCGCCATTTGTGGAATTTTTGTGTTAGAAGGCTCAAAGATTTGTTCCGAATTCTGTAAAAAGAACAGAGCCTTTCATGGTACTACCTTGTACTCAATAATCCTGATTCAGAACCATTTTATATTAACCTTGATCCTCTCAACAAATTTGGTGAATACATCGATTCACCAAAACTTTTAAATATCTCCTACTTTTTTATAGAAGTTTTGTTATGAAGGACTCAGATTTGTTATGAATTTCTCAAAGAAAGAACCCTCATAGAACTACTATTGGAGATACTCATGTGGATTCAGAAATATATTTTTATAATTTTCTCAATCGCCTTAAAATTGGTGAATACACCGATTCGCCAATAGTTAAAGATCCTTCGCCATTTGTGAAATTTTTGTATTTGTTGTCTCATTTGTTCCGAATTCTGTAAAAAGAACGGAGCCTTTCATAGTACTACCTTGAAATCAATAATCCTGATTCAGAACCATATCATATTATTCACAATTTCCTTAGCAAATATGGTGAATATACCGATCCGCCAAAACGATAAATAATATTCCCCTTTTTATGCGTTCTGTATTATAAGGCTCAGATTCCTCAACTCCCAAGTCGAATTCCAAAATAAATTATTATTGAAAGTTCTTCCCATATGATGCCAACTTTATGAATGACACTGTATATGTGCCCATTTTGGGGCGAAAATAGAAATACTATTCACCTGGTTACTTTGTACTTTCCATATTTCTAAAATTCTCGTCTCGGCTTTGAGTAAGTCCAATTTATCGTTCCTGTAAAATATTGCACAGCCATCAGGTCCGTTGTTTCCATTTATGTATATACAGGGCGAGTCAGGTTTGGGAAAGAACATCCCTTTGTAGCCTTGAGTTCCTAGTACGTGTCTCAGGAAATTGAAGTGGTCAACTTCCTAAAACAAGAAAATACAATTGCTACTACTAGAAAGCACTCTATTAGCTGCTAGTTTTGCTAGTACCAAGTCCAAGTGTGTTAGAGAAAAGAAATTATACAGTTTCACGAAAAAAAAAGGAATTGTTGAATCAAGCATATATGCACGACAAAATATAATCTTGGAATGAGTGAATCTATATCTTGTTTCAGAGCAAATTTGAAGTTTGAATTGAGTAAATATGTTTTGCATGAACTCTGGATGGTATTCAATCAAGCACATCCATGAATTGATTCAATCAAATATTTAGTTGATTTATTGAAATATTTGGTTGATTCAAAGTAATATTTGGTTGATTCAATGAGATATTTGGTTAATTCAATGACATATTTTGTTGATTCAATGAAATATTTCGTTTATTCAAGAGAAACTGTATTTCCATTCGACAAATTGTTTTGTAGAACCAAATTCAGTAATAATCCGGGAATTTTCTGAAATTTCACATCAATCATCAATAAAATAAAGTAAACTAGAAAACTAGTCTAGTCTAGTCTAGTCTTTACTCCTCTTCAGCTGATGCAAAACTATTTCGGATTGCTAATCATCCTAAGTTCGATTTATCCAGCTGATATTTCAAACACGAGGCTGAATGATTTCCATCTAGAGGCGAAAATGTAACTTGATGTAGAATGAACAAAATATTTCATTGATATCACATATTTCGTTGCTCTATTCAAGCAAATGATCCGTGCGGAACGAGTTCATTGCTACATCGGAATAAGAAAACGTATATGTTGTTTCAAAGATATATTCTCACCAAAATGATCATTATTTTATCAAATCAACAAAATGTTATAGTTGAATCAACATCGACATTATTTTGGATCGACATAATTCGATTTTGAGAGAACCATATATTTTGTTGATGAAATTGATATTATAATGTTGATTCAATTAGACTTCATTCTTGATTTGAACAAGCTGCTGCCATGGAATATTCATATATCTGGTTGATTCAACAAAAAATTGCTCAGTCGAACAAAAATAATTCAAGCATAAATAATTTGTTGACGCAACAAATCCTTTTTTTCCGTGTGGACATCAATTTTCTCTTGAATCCTTCGTAAGATTCTAATACATTTTTTCAATGAATAATTATAGCTATAATTTTCACCAATATTTCTGGCTTATTATAGGTACTGTCTTTGAATGATTCGTTTTGATATCATATACAGGGATGGAAAGGAAATATAGAATTTTTGGAGTTCTTTGAGACACCCTGTGAAGTGAACAACTGACAATTGAAAACGGCTTCTAACCCAAAATGGTATATGTATACCTTTGCATACTTTTTTTTTTCATGATGGCCACTAAGCGTTAAGGATGAATAACAACAAAATCTTGTTTTTAAATATATGAAAAATTGATATTCATCGTATAGGACGTGGAATTAAATTCTGAATTGAGGAAACCAAATCACCCCTTGATTGTGTGAAAGTATTGAATAGGAATATTCTCAGATAAATTATGATCATGAAAAAATGGATATATCTTGTTTCTCCTTGTATTTGTAGAAAGGCGAATAAAACTATGAGAACCATATATGATTCTAGTATATCCTTATTTGAATTTGAGTGTATTTCACAAAAAATATTATTGATGTGCTGTGCTTTAGCAGAATGAATACCTATGCCTATTTGAATTTGACAAGACCATGAGATGTTACAATATTATTGTCATTATTACTCAATCAGCAACAATGGCTGTCATTGTTTGTAAAATTCCACGGAAGCAATGGATGATTAACTCGATAGTTGAATATCAAAGACTGTAACCTTTGGCACGATAATCGAGGGAGTCGTTAATCTATGATCACAGTAATCGCATCACACTTTCTCACCACTGATAAAACCGATTTTTTAACGCTATATTTCAGCATCACGAGAAGATTGAAACTGAATATTCTAATCGACACGTGTCGAGGCGTTAAAAAATTGGTTTGGTAAGTGTCGATACTTTTTATTTCTTATATAGAATCATCACTCAAATACCTTTCAATTACATATATTTTTTAGAATTTTTCGGTTGGAATACGATTGGGAACTAATTGACTTCATCTTTGGACTTTCCCTTCCTCCTGCAAATTTCAGAACCTCAATAATTACGTGAGATACGGTTTTTTTTTCATCGAGGTGGTTGAAATCCTTTATGGACACCATATGGGTCCGATCCCCCATATGATAGTGTGGAAGTCCCCTGACTCCAGGTATACCCACTAAACACTCCACCCCGTTTGTAGGCTCGTCCGACCGAAGTCTCCGACGACACTTAGTGTCAGACTTGTGTCAGAATTGTATGAAGGAAATCAGCAAAGGGAAAGTTCTCAAATGTGTGCGAAATGGAACCACCTGCGGAGATTATTCAAGCAGCTCGGGCTGTGACAGAAGATTTATTGCCCGAAAAATCAAAGCAACGTATTTGTTTGTGTTTTTCTAACCGTTAAAGTGTCAACCAAAGAAAAACCTTTTTTGCTTTCGTCGAAAAGCAAAAAAGGTGAAAGAAACACCTAATTTCGGAGCCTTGGCAACGCCCCGAAAACAACGCGTTGCGCTAGCCTAATACAAAAAAGCATATCCATGTCTTTGTTCAACCAAATACCTTCTGTCACTGCTTGTCATAGTGTCCGTATCATATATCTACTACTACACTCATTACAGCAAAACTGTCAAATATATACAGGGACTCCAATGAAAACTACGGGGAAACATTCCTAACTCCTAGCTGATATTGAAAGTTAGCAATGTTTTCCCGTAGTTTTCATGTCATCGCAACGTCAGATGATGACCTTAACTACCGCGAATTGAAAGTTAGACTCGTTTTCCCGTAGTTTTTGATGTCATCAGAACGTCATTTATGACCTTGACTACCTCGAATACATTATTCCTACAATAGAAAATAAAGTCTCCTTGCCCTGATTGGAAGAAAAAGTGATTTCCGTTTTATAGCATACAAAACTTTCAAACATACATCTGACTGTCTGTCTGATGCAATAGTTGTTGGTTAATTTTGCTTACCTGTATACAAATTATGTCAGGGCAGTATTCTATCAGTTCTTCAATAATAAGATATCTTCTGACATTCCACGCTAGTGCCTCATCTGGACATTTCGCAAAATTGTCATTCATTTGTCCAAGAGCTTAAAGAAATCAAAATCATTTGAAAAATATAATCGTTCGAAGAAAAATGAAATTTCAATAATGTATATTTTCGTCGACAGTGGGTACACATGTTTGGATTATCACTTTCGAAATCTGCATTCAAATCGAAAATAAAGATTTAATCGAAGATTTATCATTAGGCTTTTCAAGGTTTTTGAACCGATTTTGATCTCCTGTTTTTTTAAAAAAAGGAGTCTTTATATTCTCCATATTGATAATTTTCACAAATGTCGGATTCAGTGATGAGTTGACTTGACTACTAATGGGTGATTGTTAGTATTGTTAGTAGTTTCCGAATGAATGATGAATTCGCGAATTAAGTGATTTCTTTGATATTTACCTAACGCCTGTTCGTTTGGGATTGCTCTACCTGCTAAACTGTTTCTATAACTCACTCTGTTTTATTATTATTATTACTAGCCGATACTTTTCCAACTGAATTAATGTACTGATAATGATATGGTTATATATACCTTGAGATAAAATGTTCCATTGCAGCACCCTCAAATTATATGGATTAGAAATATATTCACTACAAGCTGAAACAAACATAATATTTGTTATTACTCAGTCCATAGTCAAAATCACATCTGACCAAACTCCTAGGGGCGATATTTTGGGTGATTCAATGACGACAAAATACTTAACAGTAATATCACGATGTTCTGAATATTCAACAGTAATGCCACAAGTGATTGAATTTTTGCAATAAGTCTGTCGTTCATGAACGAAATTGAATTGATCGAGAAGATATCAACAGTCTGCAGGAATGATTTACAAAAGTTTCAGGCAAACTTTGAAGCTGAATATCTTCCAAAATATTTGTTTTCCGACAAAAACGTATTCTTTCATTTCGTTTTGTTTTTTCGTCTTCTATCATCCATTTCATTTATTGCCCCAATTTCGGAAACACCCTGTATATATGGAAATTGTTATACCATACCACATGCATGATATATAGGGCGTTCACCACACCAGAATATAAAAAGGATCAGAATTTTTTTCATCTACTCGATTATTGATCATATTGAATGTCACTGCGATTGAAATATTACCATTAGAAAAGAGACATCCAATTGATAGTCAGAAAATTCACTCCGTGACCGAAAAATCGGGAGTACAATGTGATGTATTAAATAATCCTGAGTATGCCATTTTTATATGGTTTCTCAGAATAGTATAATGTTACTAAAACATATTAGGTTCACTATTTTCTAGAGGTTAATTCGGAGCTGAATATATACATACCTTTCGTCAGTGTATTCAACTTCCTAACTTTTACACCATGGTTCGAATCGGGACCTTCGTCCCTTCTAAATGCCCTTTTGACCATGGGATGCACCAATGGTTGCCTTTGACAATGTTGAATGAGCTCATTCCTGCTGATATTTCTCGGTAGATCTAGGTCTTCATCCAATAAATCATTATTGAGTATTTTAGGAACCGAGGAAAAACTACCCATCCTGTAAATCAAAAATGATTTTAAATGCAACTACACCTGACCGTGATTACCTTTTGGGCTTGCGCAACCGGTATACCTTTGTATTTTTAACGCATATCACTTATATATCATTTTGGAACACAGACAGCTTGAGTGAAATTGAATCAAAACGCTTAATTTACGAACAAATTATGCTAATTAATTTTAATGCATGAAGAACCCGGGCAGACTCTTTCATGTATCATTTTTTAACATAAAAAATATACATAATGATACCCTCCGAAAGGTAAACTGATTGAAATCACTTCCGAAAATCTGTCAGTATCTACCTTTTTTTATGTTCTGGTTCCCACGAAAAGGGATATCCTGTAATGTTCAGAGAACACCGTGAGAACCAAGGAAAATAAGGTAGGAATTGGTGTTCTTAAATTTCTGGAGGTTATATGCCTCGGGGAACACCTCCCTTGGCAATGTGTTCCAGAGCCTCGCTGTTCGTTGGATGAACGAGTTTTTGGAAAGAGATGTTCTGTAGGTCTCCAAAGTAACCACGAAGGGGTGCGAAGCCTCAACTCGACGGGTTAATCTCGCGGGGACGGCCAAGGGAGGAGCAATTGTTGATTTTTCAGAAGAGCATGAAAATATCTATAAAATCGAGCCACATCGCCAAATTTTCTGTTCCAGAGAAGTGAGCGAGTTTATGAGCGACGAGACGAATTGCCCTTTTTTGGGCAGAATCCAACAGTTTCAGGGTATGTTTGGGTGCTGCACTCCAAATATGGGAACAGTATTCCAGGACAGGTTGGATCTGTGCCTTATAGATCATAAGCAGCTGACTGGAAGTGAAATAGTTCCTGGCCCGAAACAGAAAACCAAGTTTTTGGGATGCACTTTCAGCAATTGATCTCACGTGATTTTCCCAAGAAGGTTATTGCTGATAGTAATACCAAGCATCGAAATGGATGTCTTCAAATGTATGGTTACTCCTGAGAAGCTTATGTTGGGCACAGTGAGATCGGCTTTTCCAGAGAAGGCAAAGTTATTGGATCCCCATTGCTGAGTCCATATTTATGTTGTCAACATTTCTTCCTCGTTCGTTTCTGATTTGCCTGGCTGGTACTGGAGCCCTGGAAGAGAAGGCGGTATGGAGGGTATACTATCGTCCTGCCGTTCTAACAGCAAGTTGAGAACGACGATATCGAAAATTAAATAACTATGTCAATCCGAATGTCAATCATATGATAAATATTTCATTCAACTCATGCATAATCGTCAGGATGAATACATTTGTTTGGTTTTTACCTTTGAAGGATTAGTTTTTTCCTATTCTGTTCCTGAGCAGCCTCAGATAAACCTCGGAATGAAAATGTTGTACACTCGATCATTTTTAGTACTCTACTGAATGCAATACATTGCTGTTTAGTATAGTATGTGGTATAGTTATTATAGTACGTGAAGGTGAGGAACTTGTAAACAAATATTTCTTTGTAATTCAAATTTCACCTGATTATAGGTATTGTTGTTAGATAACTTGGTCTGGACCATGCATTATTACATTCTGGAGATGCCAGCGGTTATTCCTTTTTGACCCCTATGAATATGATTATGGTAATTAGGAGGAGACAGACAATATGTCTGGCTGATTCATCATAGATCGTTTGACATATACAGGGCTTTCATTTCAAAACTCACCACCCAGCTTATCCTCTGATCTGCAGTGATCACAAGTTTGGGAAAAAATGAGTCGATTTAGATATTGAGGGGGAAGTGAAATACCAGAATCGATTGAATGATGCTGTTTTCATCTCCATTACCCCCAGCGACCACTATTTTATAACTTCAAATGAAAAACCAATCCGACCAGATGAATAACAATTTTTTTCAACGATTCGTGTTGTAACAGGAGTTAGAGAGGTCAAGAAAAACAATTTTTCACGGAGGTATTCGGAGCAATTATTCAAAATATGCCCCAATATTCCATTACTCAATAGTACAGCCTATTTTAGAACTCTTGACGAACTTTTTGAAACCTTGGAAGGTTCTCCCATTAATTTATCTACATTTAGAAATAGTTCTCTGAGTTCATCAATATATTCTGGCGGAGTTTTAGTGGACATTGTTTCCATGTAACCGCACAAGAAATGATCAAGAGGTGTCAAATCTGGGGAACTTGCCAGTCATTCTATGGTCTAGTTACAAATGACTTCATCAATATCCAATTACCGGATATTTATGATCGAGCTGCGAGAAAAATTCAGTAGATAATTCCATCTTTCAATGAATTATATATAAAGTCTACCTATACATCAATGGCATATTCAATTATAATTTATTTCATATAACTCCTGATGATGCTTTGATGAAAATTGACAAAATTTTCAGCTGTCACCCGGTTGATTTGCTTATTGTTGACTCTGAATTTTATGTATTTCGAGGAAGGGGGTGGTTCTATTTGGAATTTCAAAGTGAGAGTGTCTGGGGTTGAAGGAGAAGAACATAGCATTCAACCGATACTGGTTTACTTCTCCCCCAATATCTATATCGACCATTTTTTCCTGAAAATTGTAATCACCCCAGATCAGAAGATATGCAGGTAGGTAAGTTTTGAATTGAAAGCCCTGTATATACAGAGTGTTTTTTTTACGAAAAATTGAAGTGGGTGTTCGATTTTCGGAAAATATTACCAATTACTCGTAAGAAAATGTTGGATTTCAAATATATAACCCAGACAGCATGCTGATTGACATTAACTAATAGGAAAACGATAGAGGTTGAAGGTCCGCCATCATATTGATAACAAAATCAATTGTTGATTAACCTATAAACAGTAAATGAGTATATGGTTCAAAGACCGATTCATAATATTTATGGATAGATCACAATTTTCCAACTACATGTTGTTTCACGGATTGATTATTCCCGAATAAAATCTCCGAAAATATTTGCATTTTGATTCTGATTTTTGAATGATGATGTGGGTGATTACACAGGAAAAAGAAAGCGTCATTGGATCATTCACTTCATGACTAAATAATTTCAGATCAAATGAGTGACCGAAAGTGTATGTCTATGATACCTACATTCTCCATTGATATTTTGAAGACTGTGTAGTGTGTATGAACCGAGGTATGAACAGAAAATATGGATTTTTGACAGATGACTTTCGATTTTCAACTGGTATAAGCCCATTTCATCCTATCTGAACATCCATAAAATAATTCAACTTTAAGTTATAAATACAAGGTGGTATAAAATAATTGTCTCCTGATATTTTTGCGAGTATTTTTGTAATTGATAGTAGATTCCAACAGAGTTACTAGATACAGACAGTAGAATGGCCAAGAGTGAAGTATAAACTTGAGGATCAGAAATCTTTTCCTTGATATTCGAAAACTAAATTCAAAATGTCAAAATCAATTGTTGATTAACCTATTAACAGTAAATGAATATGGTTCAAGGACCGATTCATAATATTTATGGACAGATCACAATCTTCCAACTACATGTTGTTTCACGGATTGATTATTCCTAAATAAAAGCTCCGAAAATATTTGCATTTTCATTCTAATTATTAAATGATGATGTGGGTGATTCCACAGGAAAAAGAAAGCGTCATGTCTATGAAACCTACATTGATAGCTTGAAGACTGTGTAGTCTGTATGAACCGAGGTATGAACAGAAAATATGGATTTTTTGATAGATGACTTTCGATTTTCAACTGGTATAAGCCCATTGTATCCTGTCTGAACATTCATGAAATAATTGAACTGCAATTTATAAATATAAGGTGCTACAAAATAATTGTCTCCTGATACTTTTGCGAGCATGGAGCATGTAACTGATAGTAGATTCCAACAGAGTTACTAGACACAGACAGTAGAATGACCAAAAGTGAAGTGAAAACTTGAGGATCAGAAATCTTTTCCTTGATATTCAAAAACTAAATTAAAAAGGTCAGTGTGTTCAAATTTCTTTGATTGATCGTCGTACATGCCGTGACGCGTGGTCCTGCATTTTTCATGTTATGAAATACCGTGAATTTCAATAATTATTATATGAACTTGTTTGGTTAAGTACTTCATAATAATGAAATAAAATGTTTCACTGGAACAATCCTAAAAGAAGGTTCCAAAATATCAATTTGGATATTATTCATCATGCATTAATAATCATGGATGTTTCAACCGCCACAGAAATACCTAGAGACAATAGTTCTGGAGTAGGTACCGTATATACAGGGTCACAGGGTGTAATTTAATTATGTGGCCAAATAGTCGGGGCTAAATTCCAAGAAAAGCCCTCCGTTACAATCCTAGAAGCATTTCATGTAACAATTGGATAAATGCTGTTAACCCCCTATTTTGACCCCGCTGAATCCGAAAATAACGTTTATCAAGTCGAAATTCCAACCGGAAGTGAGATATTCAAGATGGCGTCCAGAATACCCCTAAAATCAAATTATTTTCTACTTTCGGTCAGCTATACGATTGAGGTGTCGATGTCTATCCCAACAAACATTTTAGGTATAATATACGTCATTTCGACCTTAGAATAGGTCAACGACTTATTTGGCCTAAGTGAATATTACGTCTTATTTACTTCAAATTTACCAATATGGGGAAAAAACTGGAAGTAATTCAGAAGACGAGAATATGGATATTAGGGTATCCTGACCAATAGGTCGAGGAAACAATTAGGTGAAATTGCCCTAATTCTAGTCCGATAGTGGTATGATTTTAGTTATTCTGACGTTATTCATTATCTACTTATGGGTGGGTTTACTAAGATTTCTACCTGGTTTACTGTCAATTGGTTGGGTTCGGAAAACAAATATGTACCGTGTTTCACGATCGACTATACCTACTCATTTACGTGTGGAGACTTAGGAGTTTATGAACATGGCGTTCAAAAGAAAACTCGATAGTAGTGGAAGGTGTAGATAATATGCATGTTGTTTAGCTTTTTTTGAGGTTGTTGTGAATCGTTATTCAACCTGCGATGCAAAATTTATTGTGATAATGTTG